CACAATAACATTTTGTGACATGAGTGATTATTAATATCATTTTATGGACAGGGAATCTGAGGCACAGAAGGATTAATAATTTGCCCACGGCCATACAAATGCTGAGTACAATTACCAGGGTTTAACCTGGGTTCTCTGGCTCCAGAGCCCCTTCCTTAATCATTTCCCCTGCTTCTAAACTGCAATGACAGCAAAAATCCCAACAGCACTTTTGGAAGCAGAATTAGATAAAACTATTTTAAAGTTAACCTGCATGGAAAAATAATAGGGAAACGGTTGGGGGAGAAAATAATTAAGCAGGAGATTCACGTTCCAATACTAAATGTATTTCATCTATTTTTTAAATTCTTAAAATTTTTTTTTTTTTTAAATTTTTTTTTTAACGTTTATTTATTTTTGAGACAGAGAGAGACAGAGCATGAATGGGGGAGGGTCAGAGAGAGGGAGACACAGAATCTGAAACAGGCTCCAGGCTCTGAGCTGTCAGCACAGAGCCCGACGCGGGGCTCGAACTCACAAACTGTGAGATCATGACCTGAGCCGAAGTCGGGCACTCAACCGATTGGGCCACCCAGGTGCCCCATTAAATGTATTTCAAAGATGCACTTAAGGTATTCACTCATTGAACAAAACTTAACACCTTCTCTTTGTCAGGCTCTGTTCTTGGTGCCAGTGACAGAGTACTACTGATAAGAACAGACAAAAATCCCTGTTCTCATAAATCTTAAATTCTTGTTGAGGGGGATAGACAAAGAAATACACAAATATATAGGCTGTTAGGTCGTGATACAGTCTATGAAGAATATATAGCAGCAAGAGGGATAGTGAATGCTAGGGTAAGGAGGGGATGCTTTCTAGATACAGGGATCAGAAAAGACCCACGGATAGGAAGACACTTGAACTGAAACATGGAAAAGTTGAGAGAGCAAACCATGAGGGTATCTGGGGGAAGAGCATCCCAACAGACCGGACGCTAGGTGCAAGGGTCCTGTGGTAGAAGGCTGTTTGTCCTGTTTGTAAAATAACAGGGAGGCCAACATGGCTGGAATGATCGGAAGGTAAAGTGGTACAAGATGATGTCAGAGGGATAATGGCAGAGGGATGATGTCAGAGGGGGAGGTGGTCAGGACGTCTCGCCTTTAACTCTGAATGGTATGGGAAATGGGACTTGATCTGACTTACATATATTATAAAACCATCATTCTGGCGGCTGTGCTGAAAAAGGAATTACCAGCACTTCTCCAAAAAAAAAGACTGAGTTTGATAGAGGACACCCAGGGGCCATGTCCCTTGACTGGATACATCTAATGTAATAAAAGGCTACACACACTGGAACTGAGATTCCCTCTACCACGCCCCCAAAACTAAGGCTAGTGAGTAAAACAGTGCTAGAACCTAAGGGAAAAAATGCCACTAACCGGTGAACAGGACTGCGAAAAAACTCACGAAACAGAAAGTTTCCTACTCCTCTGCCTGCCATCTGAGCAGTGGATTGCCCGATGCTTCCCTGCCGAGAGAGCTCGAGTACGTCTTCATCCACTACCGCACTCGTCAACGGTAGCCAAGACATTGACCCTTGAAGTCATGGTGGGGAAGGTACAGTAGGGGACGGCATCCTGGGAGACACGGCGCCCACAAGTGAAGTTATAAGACGGTACGTGAAGACAGAGGAATTCTAGCAGCACGCTAGGGATTGTGACGTTTGTATATCGATTACATCTATCCACAGGACACAGACTCAGTGGCGGATGTCGGGAAGCATCTGGTGCTGTAGATGGCAGGAGGGGAAAGCCTCTTGGAATGTGGACCTGAGCTGAGAGGACCCACTGGCATGTCGGCAACAGAAAATTTAGCCACGACCCGAGACAGGGAGCAGACTCGATAAAACTTGCCTACAAGTACGCAGTCTGCAAAGATCCAGCCCCATTTAGGAGTAAGAAAAGGGAAAATTATTAATTTGATGTCTAAGACACAATGCTGGAGGAAGGGTCTGATGAGAAATATTATAGCATTTTGTGGATTCGATTACAAATTTTATGTCCTTGGAAATCGTACACACCCTTGAATTTCCACCAATAAACACAATATAATCGTCACAACACAGACACAATCAAACAGGTCAGCTCTTTGCAGTATTCTTTACAAATATTATCATAAAAGGGAACCAAATATCAAAGCTGATCTTCTTTTCGTTAATTTAGAGTATCCCAATATTAAAAACTACTAAAGGGCACGTTGGGTATTTCTGGAACTAGGTTATCAATATGTTAAGTAATGACAACACCATTTTGTGAATGAATCAAAATTGTACCTAAGGGTCTACCCGACTTTTACGAGATGCTTTACAATTCCAAGTTGCTGCCTCAGTAATTACAATGCAGCCAGATGCAGTCAATTCCACAGTAAGTTAGAGGCCTGGACATATAAATAGCTCAGTAGTTTGGTACTTCAAGAGTTTCTATGACGATGTCAATTTTCAGTAATGCATACTTTTAATAGTACGCATAAGTAAAGTCAGGGTTCTGGATTTTTCACTTGTGATGATGTTTAAGAGAAGGGTTTTGTTCTTTGAACTTTATAGTCCTTGCAAATATCTCACTCATGAATGAAAACCAACTATTTTGGGGCAAGAAATTATTCTCCGCAGGTTGTTTTCACTGACTATCTTTCAGTTTGAGGTGTGCAGTTCAGTGATTCGACAATTAAAGTCTTAGAGGAGAACACAGGCAGCAACCCCTTTGACATCAGCCGCAGCAGTCTCTTACTAGGTATGTCTCCTGAGGCAAGGGAGACAAAGGCAAAAATAAACTATTGGGACCTCATCGAAATAAAAAGCTTTTGCACACAGAAAGAAATAATCAACAAAACTAAAATTCAACCTACTGAATGGCAAGAATATATTTGCAGATGACATGTCTGGTAAAGGGTTAGTATCCCCAAAATACAAAAATCTTATAAAACTGGGGTGCCTAGGTGGCTCAGTCAGTCGAGCGTCGGGCTCTTGATTTCAGCTCAAGTCACGATTTCGCAGTTTGTGGGTTCAAGCCCTGCATCGGGCTCTGTGCTGGTAATGCAGAGCTTGCTTGGGATTCTCTCACTCTCTCTCTCTCTCTCTCTCTCTCTCTCTCTCTCTCTGCCACCCCCCTCACTTGCTCCCTCTCAAAATAAGTAAACTTTAAAAAACTTCCAAAACTCAATACCCCCCAAACAAATAATCCAATTAAAAAATGGGCCGAAGACCTGAACAGACATTTTTTCCAAAGAAAACATCCAGATGGCCAACAGACACATGAAAAGATGCCCAACATCACTGGTCATCAGGGAAATACAAATCAAAACTACAATGAGACATCACTTCACACCTTGTCAGAATGGCTAAAATCAACAACACAGGAAATAACACGTGTTGGTGAGGATGCGGAGAAAGGGGAGCCCTCTTGCACCGTTGGTGGGAATGCAAACTGATTATCTACCTTTTAAAAGTAAGAGACATATAAAGGAATGCTAAGAGGGATTAACTGAATAATAATTTAAAAGAAATAACAACAGAGATAACGCGCATCAATGTTTGTTGAACATAGTAGTCTAAAACCTTAAAAATAGATACCTCAAAATGTTATTTGTAGTTTATGAGTGAGAGCAAAATAGAACCATTCTGAGTCCCTCTATGTAAATTATCTCATCTTCAATGGCGCTCTTCTAGGATGCTTTTTAATAAGCCGCTTTCTATACTTATCATGTGTCTTTAACATGAAAAATTTCATGTTTCAGTTCGAATGGAAGTTGCAAAAAAAAAAAGAGATTGCTGATCACAGCATCACACACATGTGTAGATCAGAGGACTGAGGTAATTAGGTTATCTCTCAGAGTTCCCTATGGGCTATCCTAATTAGCATACAAGCACTTCCCTAACCGGTCGTAGTTACCAAGGACAATGTGATTCTTACGGCTGTGTTTGCCCTCTTATTGCCCGACAGCACATTGTATTTGCTTTTTTTACTGACTCAGAGCAAAAATACATACTTGATCACCCATAATTGATCTGTTACAAATCTGGCTATGGGAAAATGAAGGATTAATAAATTATTATCGAAACCTTACTGGTTAATCAAGTTTATTCTCTGGGGCAGACACCCCATCCCCATTGTCCTGTTTTTCCTCAAGACCAGAACCCCATTTGACTGGCTCATCTACTCTGCCCCTTTGAAACCTGAGTGACTAGGGCAAAGCTGACCCCACCCCAGGTCATGGGAGGAGATAATAGTAACCAATATAAAATAATAGAAACCAAACAAAGTGCTACTATCCCTTTGGCCAGAGATGGGTTTCATTGCCCAAGGTTAAGTTAATCAAGACTTGCTGGGCTCTTCAGCTAAATCGTCCTGATTAGTCCAGAGGAACTTTTGTTCCAAGGTGACGGGGAGGCTCATCTCTCTGTGTCTGTCCCTGATTCTCCGTTTTGTCTATCTTCATGCAAGGGAAGGACAAGAGAGCGTGCTATCCCCGTGGCTGCGAGTGCTCCTCTCAGGAAGGAAGCGAGTCTGAGGACAAAGCTAACATACTGGAGAGACCCTGACCCTCCCCTGCCCGAGCCCTCCCTACTTTCTCGAGATGAAACACTTCTTTATGGTTAAAAGTACTGATCGCCATGTAATAGATGTGCTCGTGAGACCTGTCCCACTTGGAAGGACGAGGGGACTCACACACACCAACCCCACCGCCGCTCTGGCTGCAGAGGTGGGAGGGGGCTGCAGAGGCGAGAACAACTGGCCGAGTGGTGACAGGGTGAGGCCCCCCGCCCCCCGCCCCCGGGTCCCAACTGTGCCCCGGTCTCAGCTCTGTTCTCACACGTCCTGGTTCTCCTGCCTTAGCTGGGGTGAGTGGATCTTCTGGTTCCCTCAACCAAAAGCAGCCATCATTAGCTTTGATAGGTCAAGTTCCTTCAGGAGCCGACGCGTCCAGGCTGGAAATCGATCCAAGTGACAAGTGACATGGCCTACCTTGGGCATGCAGATCACCAGATGCCCTGTCGTCTGAGATCGCTTAGCGGAGCTGCTGTCCGGCTTCACTTCGGCAGGAAGAACAAGCTGAAATGGCTGACGACAAACAGGAAGTTTGCGTATTACGGGAGAGGGTTACTTCAAGAGGCATTTTCATTACAAATTCAAGATCCACCGTGCCATTTTAAAAACAACGTGCTTTGGGGCGCCCGGGTGGCGCAGTCGGTTAAGCGTCCGACTTCAGCCAGGTCACGATCTCGCGGTCCGTGAGTTCGAGCCCCGCGTCAGGCTCTGGGCTGATGGCTCGGAGCCTGGAGCCTGTTTCCGATTCTGTGTCTCCCTCTCTCTCTGCCCCTCCCCCGTTCATGCTCTGTCTCTCTCTGTCCCAAAAATAAATAAAAACCGTTGAAAAAAAAAATTTAAAAACAACGTGCTTAGACTTAGGAAAAAAAGAACCCATGTCCGGGCTATGCTTGATATGCAGGAACTGTTCTACCTGTTTCAATGGACGGTCTAAAGAACAGTCATCAATCACAAACAGCAAAATAGCTATTGGTCCGTTTATGTTGACATGACTAATAATAAAGGGTAAAACTCCTTGTCGTGAACTATCAACGTATTTCCATTTTAAAGTCTTTATAGGACTCCTGTGAATGCTCATAATCAGCCAAAAATACTATTTCAAACATTATAAAATTACAATTGCTGTGAATGAAATCATCGACAATTTAAAGCGGGTACATAATTTAAATATAATCTCAAGCATAGGCTACGACATATATAACCATCTACTCAGCTTTGGAACAGTACTAACACAACAGAAATAAGTTAAAAATAATAATTTTATGGAGCTGCACCGTGGCTGGTCAACAACCATTCCCACCGTATACCATTCCCATTGTATAAAATCATGTGTCCAGGGGCGCCTGGGTGGCTCAGTTGGTTAAGCATCCGACTTCGGCTCAGGTCATAATTTCATGGTTTGTGGGTTCGAGCCCCACATCAGGCTCTGTGCGGACAGTTCGGAGACTAGAGCCTGCTTTGGATTCTGTGTCTCCCTCTCTCTATGCCCGTCCCCTGCTCGTGCTCAGTCTCTCTCTCTAAACTAAATAAATATCGAGAAAAATTGTTAAAAACGTTTAAAAATCATGTGTCTAAAAAGTAGCTCTCTGATTGGGCTTCTTTTTTCCTATTTTCATATTACTCTCACCATTTTTGAGGCAACCTAGCTGAGTTGTAGACTTAGCTTTTGAAATTGTTAACAGTCGACTGCATTATACTTACCTTCCCTTTGACCATGACCCGTACGTAAGTTGGTTGCACATCTACATCGATTAAAGAGGTGTCCATATACCTTCAAAATCAAACATGTCCAATCTTAGAATTTTCACAAACATTAAGCTTAAAGAAGTGCAAATAAAAACTAACATTTAAAGAACCGTGTTAGGGGCGCCTGGGTGGCTCAGTCGGTTGGGCGTCCGACTTCAGTTCAGGTCATGATCTCACGGTTTGTGGGTTCGAGCCCCGTGTCGGGCTCTGTGCTGACAGCTCAGAGCCTGGAGCCTGCTTCTGATTCTGTGTCTCCTTCTCTCTCTGCCCCCCGGCCCCCCACTTGTGCTCTGTCTCTCAAAAATAAATAAACGTAAAAAAAAAAAATTTTTTTAAAGAACCGTGTTAAATGAAAGAGAGGTTTACAATTTCCATGCTGAACAGGTCTTAAGAAGTTTGTCTTACGTTAATCCCTAAACCAAAGGAAATTCAATATATCAGCAATTTCATTTTTAGAGCCACAAGTACACTTGGCATTGATTGCCCCTCACCTAAAAATATCTGCGGCCTGAAAACACGAGAGGTTTGCAAAGAAAAAAAACAACCAAAAAACAAAAAACAAAAACAGCTTGCCAGTTCTTTCATGAATATTTTATTTTAAGCCCTTAAGACTGACATGAATAGCCAGGGATGTTGAGCCTACTACGAGTGGGGCCTGCAGACCCCCACTCCCTCTTCCTTAGCTGCTCTCTGTCCCCACAGCTGTTCTGCAGCTGCCACAATGCCACCCCCCCACCCCCGCAAGACTGGCTTTGCTTCTCCCTGCCAAGCTACCTCCTGCTGATTAAGCAAAGCCTTCCATCTATGGCAGGGACCCCAGGATCGGCTGGTAATTGTTCTCCTTGGCTTTATGAACAAATCAAAGATTCAGGCTTCATCTCGCTTATGTAGACAAACGATTATACGTATAATTGGACATTTAAAAATATTGTGTTGGGCGCCTCGGTGGCTCAGTCGGCCGGATGTCTGACTCGGGCTCAGGTCAAGAGCTCACGGTTTGTGAGTTCAAGCCCCACGTCGAGCTTGTTGCTGTAAGCGTGGATCTTCTGTCTCCCTCTCTCTCTCTCTCTCTCTCCCTGCCCCTCCCCTGCTCACGCTCGGTCTCTCAAAGATAAGTAATCATTAGAAAAATACTGATTGTGAACTTTAGCGAATGCAGTGAGGATTCAGAAATCACAAACATTAAGGAGAACACCAGGGCCGCAGGCACAGGCCTGGGTCACACAGACGGTGAGGAATTGACCCCACCCCCTCTTCCTCTGTTACCTTGGACGACATTCCTTAACCCCTCCCCGCCTGTTTCCTCACCTGGAAAATAAGGATGGGAAGTGCCCCGCCCCCTAAGATCGCAGTCAAGACCCAGGCATAGCGCCTAGTCCGGAGCTGGCGCTGACAAAGCATCATGCTTGTAATAATAAAAATAAAAATTCTCGTGACAATACCAAGGCTGGGCAAGGTCTCCCCAGACCTCGTTGAATATCTACCACGCTAACGGATCACATCTTCTCGTTCACGCGTGGGGCCTCCTAAAGCATTCATCTGCCCTTACCTATGAGGTCCTCGCGTGCTGTTCGCCTCTGCCCAAGACCACCTTCTGCTGGTCCTCTGCAAAGCCCACCACTTCTCATCCCGCAATCGTCAGCGCTCAGTCCAGCAGCTTCCCTGAGCATCCCCTATACACGGACCACCGGACTGCAGGACCCCCGGGCGCCACCCCCGGACTCTGGCCCTTCCTGTGAAGCACCCTGACTTATTAGACGCCTGCCTGTTTACTTCTGGCTCCCCCACGGGGCCGTAAGCTCTAGGACAGCAGAGACTGTCTTTGGAATGTGCCAGTGACAGCCTCCCGTCCCCGGTACATAGGAGGTGTTCTACTGACATTTCTGGATAGAGAGAAAGAATATACGGACGAACGAATGAACGAGCACATGGACGAACGAACGAACGAATGAATGAATTTAACTTTCAGAGACACATCCATGCGCCAATGAAGATCACGAGGAGTGTTAGTGTCATCAGTTCAGACAGAATCGTGGGAAGGGAAGGGAGGGATTTTACTACCTAGACAGGAGAAGTCGCACCACTCCTTGAAAAAGTGCACGACAGGGGCATGAGGAAAGTCTTCGTTCGGGAATCGAACATGAAGAGGCCAAGAGAGCTACAAAGCGAAAGGGGTACACATTCATTAAACTCCAGGAATATGACCAAAAAATGGGAAGAACTAAAAGGATGAATGAGAGTGTTTAATGAGACACAACAGAAAGGGAGCTCGGGTTGCTGCAGGGTCAGAGGACACGAAATCAGGAGAAGAGCTCGGCGCTCTTTAAAGGCAGATGGACTGGCGGTGCGTGGGCAGGAGAATTAACAGGAGGTGAGACGGGGCATCTTGTCATGAGAAGGAAGGAACACACGAAGGACTGGCCCTTCCTCACCAGAGCCGAAGGTGGAAACAACCCAAATGGCATCAACCGGTGAGTGGGTGAACAGAAATGTGGTCCGTGCAGACAATGGAGTATTACTCGGCCGCAAAGAGGAAGGGAATTCTAATACCCGCTACAACACAGATGAGCCCCGAAGACGTTACGCTACGTGAAAGGACACAAGACCACAAGTGATTCCGTTTATACGAAGTATCGAGAATTGGCAAATCTATAGAGACAGAGCGCAGGCTCGCGGGGGCCAGGGCACAGGGTACGTTTCTCATTTCCCTGTGAAATGACCACTTAGTGGCCATGCACTTCCGTTCTGCGGTGATGAGGTTGTCCTGGGGCTCAGCGGTGGTAAGGCCTCACGGCATCGTGAAGTTACCGAGTGCCTCCGAATCGGACACTTGAAATGGCTGAAATGGCAAATTTTAAGTTGCGTGTATTTTACCACAAGTAAACAAAGTGGGATGTCAGGCTGTGAGTACATGTCCTGGCCCCTCTGATTACTGTAGTTACTTTGACGAGACTCGCTCTCTGGAAATTTACTCCCTTTTGGATGAATTTCGGGATAACAATCCCTCTTCCTTCACTGGGTTACTGGAAGATCAGATGAGATAGAGCCCACAAAACGGGCCTCAGAAAGAGAGAGGACTGTATTAAAATGCATGCACGTGAATGTTCACTGGTTCCCATTACCAGTATTCATTCATTCGCTCACTCAGGCGTTCATTCGTTCCTGCGCTCACACCCTGTGGGTGCTGGAGACATAAGGAGGGCCGAACAAACAAAGTTCCTGCCTTGACCGCACATTTAAAAAAATGCAAGTAAATTCACAGTTTGTCAGGTAGAAATCAAAAAGCGCGAAGAGGTGGGGGAAGTGCTGGGGTAGGGGTAGGCACTGTTTTACATCGGATAGCGGGGCACAGGGGCCTCCATAATGAAGCGGCATGTGACCAGAGGCCCGCAGGAAGTGAGGCAGCCAGCCACGTGGGCACCCAGGGTGACGGCGGTGCAGGCAGAGGGATGCATGGGTGCAAAGTCCCGAGGCACCAGTGTGTCTTGAAAAGGCTGGAGAAGTGGAAAGACCCTATACGTGGACCCTGAAGTCAGACGCATGAAGGACAGCGAGCCGAAACCTACGATCCTAAAGAAATGAGGCAGGGACACAGCCAGGGGGGAAAGTGTCTGCTGGAGGTAAAAAAAAAAAAAAAAAGCTGCAGGGGGTACCCCTGGGTCTCTAAGAGGGGACTGGGAGGCGGGGGCCACCACCCGCTGCCTGGTGCTTACTGTCACATCAGAGTGATTTGGAAAAAACAAGGAGGAATATAAAAGGACAGTGGCAGTAGGGAAAGGCGAGGGGCCCGTGGTATCAGCGTTAGGAAACAGCAAAGCTGTGACAATTATGTAAACTAGGCCTGAGCGGCAGGGCCAGGGTGGCTCAGTCGGTTGAGCTTTAGAGTCTTGGTTTCAGCTCAGGTGGTGATCCCAAAGTCATGGGCTGGGCGAAGAGCCTGCCTGGGATTCTCTCTCTCCTGTCTCTCTGCCCCTTCCCCTGGTTCATGCGCCCTCCCTCACAAACAGGATTAAAAAAATTAAAAGTAGGGGCACCTGGGTGGCTCAGTTGGTTAAGCCTCTGACTTTGGCTCAGGGCATGATCTCACAGCTCGAGAGTTCGAGCCCCATGTCGGGCTCTGTGCTGACAGCTCAGAGCCTGTCGCCTGCTTCTGATTCTGTGTCTCCCTCTACCTCTGCCCCTCCCCTGCTCATGCTCTGTCTCTCTCTCTCTCTCTCTCTCTCTCTCAAAAATAAATAAACATTTTTAAAAATTACAAAAAAGGTTAAAAGTAAATAACTAAACTCTGCCTTCCAAACGGAAAGTCCAAAGTTCGTAGCCCTGGGATTATGGGTTTATTTACCTCTGCCTTTGTTTCCATTTTCATGCTTTTTAAAATTACGGTAAATTCTCGGGCTTAAAAAACAAAACAAAACTTCTTCGTTTGGCAAACCAAATTCCATTACAAAATACTTCAGGACTCAAGAGATGGCACTGAGAATGACACCAGAGAAGCCATTAAGTAAACCCATAATAAAATGACTTTACCTATAGACAGCAAGGTCCAGGATGATCTGGTTACGTTTTTCATCATCTTTCAAGGAGAAGTCAAGTCTAAGGAACAATCAATCCGTTGGGGGGAAGAAAAAAAAAAAGATGACGTCTTTAGCAATACTGTACAGGTATCCCACCCCTTATCAAAAGTAAACTTGATAATAAGTATATACTAATCCCCGATGACAAACTTATTCTGGGAGGTGTTATTTAAAACTCTCAACGGAAACCTACAATACACGCATAAATTATTTATTTACCTTGTTGAAATGTGAGAATCCTAAGGCAAACTACATACAAAAAAAGTAGCATTGGTGCAGAGATAGAGACATCTGGTGGTTAAAGCTTTCTTTTCGATTTCATTCAAGTTTGTTAGAAGCAAAACTAAAACGCTGGGATTGTTTATGGGGAAGAAAATGTCATATCTGCCTCCCTTACCCAGCGTTCTATCCCTTCCGTTTTAAATAGTCCTGTCTTCCTTCTTTCTCCTTGCCATCTTTTTTTTTCTCCTTTCATTGTTGACCTTTGCACCACCTTGGAAAATGCTGAGACACTGCCCATGATCTATCACCTCCATATAGACGAAGAAACAGAGGTTCGAGAGGTTGACACAGCTGGGAAGGCGGCCATGTGAGCCTGGAGAGGCAGGATTTCAAAGCCCTACATCTTTCAACTATACCGTACGGCTCGGTCTGAGGTATAACTTCCATAGTGTCAACATACCATTCAGAATTATTTGGCTGGTTTATTTTGAGCATTTCACTTGTCATACCATTCTGTAAAGTATACAGTAAAACAATATTAAAGGATGTATGCTAAATCGTTTGGAACAATTTGGCCATCAGCAAGATGTCTGTGTGGGGCCGTCCCTTTTGGTGAGTTCAATGACCCAGCCATGTGGGACTCCTTCAGTTGCTCAAATGACCCATCCCTTTGTGATCTCCTCTCAGGAGCTTTCTTATGTGCCGGTCCCTCTGCCTTGATTGCTTATGCCCCAATTTTCCAGCCAGCCAACTTGAACTCTCTCTTCGCAGATCATTTGAAAGGTAATTTCAGAGAGGTTTTCTACGGTAGAGATTGCTATTCATTCCCTCACGGTCCACTTCCCCTTTCTCCACAGTAATAGGACCCCTGATTTTAACCAGGAACATGGCCATGCAGAATAAAGGTGACACTTTCCTGCGCCCCCCGCAGCTGGATATAGTCATGTGATTTAGTTCCCTGAAGGAGAGCATTATATGGCACTCTCCAGGAATTTCCTTAAAGAGAGGGCGCATGTGTCCTTTTCTCCCTCTCTTCTTCTTCCTCCAGTTGGATGGAAGAGACTATGGGAGACCCAGTCATGAACTACAAAGACTACTTAGCAAGCTACTGCAACTCTCCGGGCAAGAGGCAGATGACACGTTCTAAGGTGGTGGGGGATGGCGTTAGTGAGAAACCGTGGATTCAGGTGATATTGAAGGAAGAAATTATAAAGTCACTGATAACATGACAGAGAGAAGAGTCAAGGATGAATCCAAGGTGGATGCTTGCTACTGAGTTGGAGAACCCTGGGGAACGAGACGGAAAGTGATCGTGGGGATAGAAATTAGGACTTCTGTTTCTGTCATGGTAAGTTTATAATACCTATCTTATAATCACATGGCGAGGACAAATAGCTCATTAAACATCCAAGCCTTGAGTTCAGGGAAGAGGTTGGATCTGGTTGTAATGTATAGATGGTGTTTAAAGCCATGGAATTTGGTGAGAGCTTCACAGAGTCAATGTGAAACAAGAAGGCAGCTGAGGAGTTGGCCACCACTTAGGTACATCACAAAGAGAATCTGGCAAAGCCTATGAAGACGAGCAGGTAATAAGGTCAAAGAATCTGAAGCAAAGGGAAGAAATTGCTTTAAGAAGGAAGATGATGATCAGTTTGGTCAAATTTGCTGGGTCAAGTACATAGGGCCTGAGATTTTAAATGATGTGACTGAACATAGGGATAATGAGACCACGGAACACAAAAATGATGTGACCATGGAACACAGAGATGATGAGAACACAGAACATGGAGATGATGTGACCATGGAACATGGACATGATGTGACCATGGAACACGGAGATGATATGACCACAGAACATGGGGGTGATGTGAACACAGAACACAGAGATGATGTAAACAGAAAACATAGATGTGAGGTGAACAGAGAGCTGATGTGAACATATAGAAATGATGTAACTACAAAAGTTTTATGTGACAGGATATGCAGACATGGTTTTAAGAAGGAAAGCGAAGTAGGGAACTGGTGACTGAGTCCAGGCATCTCCATGAGGAACCGCAGCTATAAAGAGGGGCAGAGAAATAGGGCTGATGCTGCAAGGGAAACTAGAGAAAGGGAGCTTTCTTATTTTTTTTTTAAGATGGACAATATCAGGGCACCTGGGTGGCTCAGTTGGTTAAGCATCTGACTCTTGGTTTCGGCTCAGGTCATGATCTCATGGTTCGTGAGTTTGGGCCCCAAGTCGTGCTGGATGCTGCTGGTGTGGAGCCTGCTTGGGATTCTCTCTCTCTTCCCACTCCCCTGCTCATGGTCTCTCTCTCTCTCTCTCTCTCTCTCTCAAAATAAATAAATAAAACTTAAAAAAAAGATACACGATGTCACAACATGCGTATACTGATGAGAGCAATTTGGTAGGAGGGAGACAAGTGATCCGGAAGAGAAGGAATCATTGCAGAAGCAAGTCCTCTACAGGAAGAGGTTTGGGATCAGTCCACCAGCAGAGAGAGTCACTCTGTAGGGGAAGTCCACCCATTGCAGCAGGAGGCAAGAGAGTATGTGGACAGGTCCAGGGACACTGGTAAATTGGATGGGAAAACTTCCGATTGCTTCTGTTTATGGAGTAAGAAACAAGGTCCCAGTCAGGACCACAGAATGGAAGTAAGAAGGGAGCAGGCAGTGTGAAAGCAGGCTACGGGAAATCAGAGGAGTGAATTACCCAAGAAAGTACAACATGATTGCCGGAAGTCCGCTAGAGATCTATGGTGGTAAATTCACAGTAAGACCGGCAGGGAGAGTTGAATGTTTTCTTCCAGCCTCACGAGGGCAAGTCCAGCAACAGATGGCATGGTAGATTTGGTTGAGATTACGAGAGAGGACGCGGGAAGGAAAGAAGGACAAGGGACTTGAAGATCCATGTCAAGGACGAATCTCTGAGACGAACCATAAAAGCATAGCGGAGTGACAGAAGATAAGAACACGAGGGGAGGGGGGAGGCAGGCAGGAAACCAGCAGGCTGAACAGATTCCTGTTCTTAATGGCGCTTCTGATTGTTGGGCGTGCAGGGCGCTCCCCGGGAGCACAGGAGGTGGTGCCCAGTGGGACACTCGAGGGAAGATTCTGGAGGCGGAAGAGATATAGAAGATGGCAGGTCTGAGAATAAGAGTGGGTTGTGTGGCTGGCTGAGGGAGGGAACGATGGCAGGGAGTGAGGCAGCGGGAAAAAGCAAGGCTTTGGTGGATTGTCTACAAGTAGGACAAAGTCACATGACCAGTGATGGGAGGAGAGGCAGAGGAGGCAGAGAGAGAGACAGAGAGAGAGAGACACTTGTCCGGGCGGGGGGTGGGGTGGGGGGGTGAACATGGTCTTCTGCAGCGAGTGGGGCAGAGGGCGAGCGTGAGGGCTGGGCAGGGCTAAGCGCATGACCGCGATAAGGACAGAGGTGGTATTATCTAGACGGCCCCGGCTCCAAGGGGGCTGGGAACTTTTAGGGAAAGGGAAGAAAAATGGTCTGAGAGTGGCTACCAGGTTCAACTTGCCTCGTGGTGTATGTACGTGGCGAGGGAGAATACGGAGGGCAGCTGTGGAAGCAGAACCCTGAGTTTCCCTCAGTGAAAGAAGATAAAAGGGACGTTGAGAGACAAGGTCGAGGATGGAGGCTTTGCTGACCAACACATACTCCAGAGGGCACAGAGGCAGGGAAGGAGGGGTCAGCAGGGGGGAAGAGAATGAGGTGTACAGAGCCACAGGGGACTAAGTTTCTGGTGGTGACGGATGACCCAGGAGGGCAAGGAAGGGTGGTGACGGCAGGATGGAAGGTGGTAGGAGGAGGTGATGGGTGTTCAGTTCTTCACAGAACCCCCCTCAATACGGTTAGCAGGAGGGGCAGGTAACGTGGACAGTGTGGTAGGGGGAGAGGTGGTCTCACCCGGGGCCCAGAGGGCTCTGAGGGTCTCCCTTAAGCCCCCTGCTATAGGCTGAGAGACAATCTTCCCACTAGATTTCTGAGCTCAGTGAATGCAGACACCTGTCATATTCACTGCCATATCCTCATGCTTAGTATCGTGTCTCAGGCTACGTTAATTTCTGCAGGAGAGAGAAGGGCTGTGTGTGTGAGGGGCTGGTAGATATGAACTTGATCACGGAAGTCACTAGAGCTGGGTTAGCACGAGCAGGTCAGTCACACCATCTATTAGCTACATGGCCTTGGACAAGCCACTCTACGTCTCCCAGGGTCAGGCTTTGAACCTCTGAGAAGAAAATACTGCCTGGCATGTAAGATTGCCACGCAGATGGAAAACACGATGCCTGGAAATGATCAGGACGGTCTCTTTATCCTGGTCCTGGTGTCGAAAACGAAGTACTGAAAAGAAACAGGCTTTGAGCAATGAAACGAAGCCAACGAGATTTAGTCCAAAGGCTTTTTGGTCGGTATTTTGGCTATAAATGGCCTTTTTTGGTTTTTTAAATTTTGCCTGCTTTCTAGTTTTAGATTTTAAGACAGCCAGATAGGGCAGCCATCATTACACTTGAGCATTTCCAGGTCGAATATTTTCCCTCTCTCATTAACGTCCCTGAAGGATCTCCATCAGTTTCTTTCCTCAGCTCTCACGTGCTTTGTAGATGTGTCCCAGAGCGTCCAGTAGAGGGACACATAGGAAAGGTACCAATACTCTCAGCCAGCTTGTTCGTGTGGCGCTTTACAAATTAATAGACATAACAATAATGCACGTGGAATTTTCAGGCAGAAAAGCGTATAGGGCCCAAAGTTTCCGCGGATACATAACTAAGATTCCCATATGTCAAGATCATTTTCTGAACGCCAAGAAAATGAAATATAACGTTATGCACTCGAAAACATCAGAGATGTTCTACTCTCAACTATGCACAAAATGACATTCTTATCGGGCTCCTCGAGCTGGTGAAGAACGCTTAGATATATTCTCCGCGAAGCAAACCCGCAACGGAAACCATCATCAGGACCACCCCCATGCGCTTGACTTCTTCAAGCCTCTCTTTGGCCTCACGTACTTGGGGTCATTCACATTCAACACTTTTCCATCTTCAGTGATCAAAATCCTGGGTGGTTTCACTTTCTTCTTCTTTCCACTTGAGATGGGAGCAAAGGGCAGTGGGGAGAGAGAAAAACAACGTAAAAGGAATATTTTTGTGACACGTTTAAGAAAAATTGATCAGGCATTTGTGAATACATGAATAATTCACTGTTATGAAGTCCATTCTGTTACTCCTATGCTGGGAATTGACAGGGCAGATTTCTTTATGATCGTTATCTGTATCTTTAAGGCAAAAATGTGACCTAGACAATTTGGCAGTTAATTCAAAAGGGGGAAAAATCCTCTTTTTCATGAAATATCCATGAATATTTAAATTCATCTATTTCATGCATGATTTACCCAGATAACTGTCGATTCTCCATTGGCGGATATAGCCTCTGCTTTAGTTAAAGTTTTAATTTTTAGGGGTGCCTGGGTGGCTCAGTCAGTTGAGCATCTGACTGTTGACTTTGGCTCATGTCATGGTCTCATGGTTCATGAGATTGAACCCTTCGTGGCTGTCAGCACAGAGCCTGCTTGGGATTTTCTCTCTCTCTCTCTCTCTCTCTCTCCCTGCCCCCCCTCTCTCCCAAAACAAATAAATGAACTTTTAAAAAAATTATAATTTTTAAAATGCCAAGTAGATTCGACTCTATAGAAATAAAAATACCAGTACATGAGATTCTACATAAACAAATGTCTATCACAGAATTACTCATAGTGGCAAAACTCTGGAGCTATGAGGAAAACCCATCAACGGAGGAGTCAGTGGCCTAACTATATTCATGCTATGAAATATTTTGCGGTTGTTAAAAACACGTGTCTGCTCTTTACCTCACTGGTCTAAAAAGTGGCAGAAAACGTGGATGGAGGAAAAGAAACAGTGCAGATAGGAAAGACTCATGAGATAACATAGAAAAATGTAGAGCGTAGTCCTAGCTATTTCAACATCACTGAAGACCTATAAAAACCTAAAAAAGCCTGTATGGACAAGCTCTACAAAACCACATGGAGGAATGTGTGTAGATGACAGAACTGTAGGCAAGTCTTTGCCTTGGATTTCCATTCTTCTAATCCCGATTTTGGATAGTGAACTGTATATGAAAATGTACATTTATTCACATTTTGCTGCATTTTAAGCTGGTTCTCCTGGTCCAGGTAAGTTAATGTGTCCATGTACCACATTAGTCTCCATGACGAGGACAATCCAGGGGCATCCTCCAGAAGGGGCAAACATCGCAGGGACCCATGGGACTGGGAACACCACTGTGCACTTGCACAGAGTGGCTTGGTCTTCTATCCAACCCAGCTGTATTTTTTTTTTTTTTAGGCTATCAGGGAGAGGAATTTTTTTTTCCTGGTTTCAGGCTCAATACAATGTATTATACGATATACTGTACTATGTATACATTTCAGGCATGCATACATATAGACATATATTGCATATACATGGGTGTATATGTGTATATATGTTGGAAATACAATACATATTATATAAAAACATGTAGAATTTCCATTGCAGAAGGTTCTTAAGTCTGCAGACCACTTTTACATTTATTGGTTCCTATGATTCTCTCAACCACACAGTGGAGTAGGGAAGGCAGGGAGAGAATCCCTGTTTAACAGACGAGGAAGGAGTTGAGGAGAAGTTGGGTATTTGCCAACATCGCACAGAGAGTAAGCAGCAGAGTCGCCACATGGACCCACATTTTCTGATGTTTTCTGATGCTCTTCCCAAAGCACTGGGTGGCCTGACCGTATATAGACCGCCAAATTTCACAAACAAGCATTTTGGATAAAATTCAATTCTCGTTTTTGTACCTCCCTATCTAGCTACTGAATAAAATTGTATGAAAGCAGCAGAGATTGCTAATGGTTGTGTTCACTCTTTCAGTTTCTTGCTCGCAGGTGACAATCACAGGGAAAGACACTGGGCTTCGTGCCTGTAACTGCCGTGCAGACGACGGTATTTCAGAGCTAAGTGATCCCATCCCCAAGCACACGAATTGTAAGCATTTCCGTAAGTGATACATTTTACGTACTAGATTTGAGCGATGACATGAAATGGAATGACACCGAGTCGAGCTTTTAAAAAGCTTCCCTGACAATCAGAGCATAAGCGTTCGAGCTTCTAACAAATCGTCAAGTTCGATCTAAACAGTTTCAGAAGTGAAAGCGTGCTGTTGAATGTCCAAGACAGTTGTACTGGGAAAACAATGCCTCATAAGACTGCTTTCTAATTTTGCAAATTATGAGACACAACGGAACTTATTCGTCCCGCAAAGTGGCCTTTTCCTCGGTGCCATGATAATCAGTATCTCTAACCCGGGACATCCCTACTGCTTGATTCGTTGAAAGTTGTTAAAAAAAAAAAATTTAAAGACATCCAAAAGACATCCAGCAGCACTATCAACGATAGCCAAAGGATGGAAAGAGCCCAAATGTCCATCGATGGATGAATGGATAAAGAAGATGTGGTTTATATATACAATGGAGTATTACTCGGCAATCAAAAAGAATGAAATCTTGCCATTTGCAACTACGTGGATGGAACTGGAGGGTATTATGCTAAGTGAAATTAGTCAGAGAAAGACAAAAATCATGACTTCACTCCTATGAGGACTTTATGAGACAAAACAGATGAACATAAGGGAAGGGAAATGAACATAATATGAAAACAGGGAGGGGGACAAAACAGAAGAGACTCGTAAATATGGAGAACAAATTGAGGGTTTGCTGGAGGGGTTGTGGGAGGGGGGATGGGCTAAATGGGTAGGGGGCACTAAGGAATCTACTCCTGAAATCACTGTTGCACTAGATGCAACTAATTTGGATGTAAATTTAAAAAATAATAATAATAGGGGCGCCTGGGTGGCTCAGTCGGTTGAGCGTCCGACTTTGGCTCAGGTCATGATCTCACAGTTCATGGGTTCGAGCCCCGCATCAGGCTCTGTGCTGACAGCTCAGAGCCTGGAGCCTGTTTCAGATTCTGTGTCTCCCTCTCTCTCTGCCCCTCCCCTGTTTGTGTTCTGTCTCTGTCTCAAGAATAAATAAACATTAGAAAAATTAAAAAAAAAAAAAACTTAAAAAAATAATAATAATAAAAATAAAATAAAGGTATCAACAAGGAGAAAAAAACAGAAAAAAAATTAAAAACATCCAAACAAGACCCTATGTAAAATGCCATAATTCATGACATCCTAAAGAAGGCAGTTTGATATTAACAAATGTCAGTAGACACAATTCAACAGGAAGCTGAACTTAGAAGCCAAGTCAATTAAGTGATGGCTAACAAAGATTGAACACAGAGAAGGAGTAAACCCTGTGCAATCAAGAAAATACAGTCCATAGCAGGGCATTGCCTCACTGTGGAATACCTTAATTTTTCTTGGTCTTTCCGTTGTTTTTCCATATGCCTAAGTGTTTCCAATCTAGATTCAGGAGTAAACAAAGAGGGCTTGTTCCAGAATTCCAGGTCATCTTCATTGTCCTTGAATCTCTTTTGGTTGCATTCCCCTTCTTGTCCTTCCTGGACATGGTCTTTGTGCTCTACTGAAAACGGGCTAGGAAAGAACAAACGGACACACAGAGCATGTGAGACCAGTACTGGATGTCTGAGTTTCATCCTAAATGCCGCCCCTTCAATCTCTGACACACTTTTCTTGTGTTGTCTTCGTACCTTTGAGTGACAAAACACATCTGAAAGAGAGCCAATGTAAGCCATGCTGGATGAACGTACTGTCCCAAATGGGACAGGCCCTCATCATCTAACACGGGGCATAGTGCAGTGATCGGATGAGAAGCTCCCAGGCTGGTGGGATCTGAGTCACCTGCGGAGCCGTGTGAAGGGCACAGATGCCTCGACCTGCCACCAGAAAGTCTACTCAATAGATGTGGGGTTAGGCCCAGGAATCTGTGTTTTATGACAGCTTGCAAGAGGTTCTGATGATCAAACTCAGGGACCACTGGGCCTTCCCAGGCACCCCACTTCCAGGCTGGGACCCTCAATTCCTGCCTCCACACTGCTCCCAGAGGAGTCTTGTCAACAGGCAAATTACATCATATTAGTTCCAGGTTCTTTAATGATGCTCTCTCTCCAAAATTCTCCAGTGGGATATATGAGATTCGTGGTATGGTCTTTTATGGACAACTTCTGATTTCATAGCTTTGTATAGGAACAGTGCTGTGTGCTCTTTTTTTATTCATGTTTTGTGGGTTGTCAAGGAGTTCTATGGTGTCTCTGACATCAAACGGGTATATGAGATATTCAACAGTCATTCAACGTGGATTCGAGAAATATTTCTTGAGCATCTCCTCTGTGCCCAGCACCAGAGATCCAAGCCCAGGCAAGACAGACAATGACAGTCCTTTCAGGAGATCCTATTCTAGCAGAGCAAAAATGACACCGTTCACATAGTAAGCACTGGGGAACAGTGTTCCTCACCTCTCCCTGCAACATACACTCTATTTCGAAATAACATTGCATGAAAAAATCCACATGAAGCCTTGAGTACCAAGCATGACAAACAGGAAGTGCTCACTGAACGTTACGTTTTGTTATTGTTACTGAAACGAGATAACACAAAAGGCTCATTTAGTTGACCTTCAGATAAGATGCTTTTTGAAGGGATAGACCAAAAGTACTAGAGCTTGAGGTTTAAACAATATAAATAGAACAGAGAATGATATCTGCTAACATTTTTTTTGCATATTACAAAATGTAACTAGTTTAATAAGCAAAATAATGCAAACTTCTGAAAATGAATACTTTGCCATATAGCTACAGTTCTCTATGGTGTTGAAAAGGCAATCTATTAAGGGGATTTATAATATCCTATCACATCCTAGGTAATCATCACTGAAATAATTGGTTCCATTTCCAGTTAAAAGAATTTGTTTAAAAAAAAAAGAAGAATTTGTTTTTGGGGGCGCCTGGGTGGCTCAGTCTGTTAAGCGTCTGACTTCGGTTCAGGTCATGATCTCATGATTTGTGGGTTCGAGCCCCACGCCGGGCTCTGTGCTGACAGCTCAGAGCCTGGAGCCTGCTTTGGATTCTGTGTCTCCCTCTCGTTCTGCCCCTCTGCCCCTCCTCCACTCACACTCTGTCTCTCTCAAAAATAAACATTAAAAAAAAAATTAAAAGGATTGTTTTTTGCTGGAAAGTGACTAATTGGTTCACTTTTCTATTTTGTAAAATGTAAAAAGATAATAATACACATAAACATCATTGCACTTAATAAAAACTATAGAAATATCAGCTAAATAACTTAAGTCTCCGAAGGCAAAATGCATGGAAATGTGAGCAGCCAGGAGACAAAACAGACTGATCTCATCAGGATACAAACAAACAATGGGCTCCTCAGCCACTTCCTTCACATCTGTGCTCTCAGAACTCTCTTCCCACTCGTGAGCACATCCCACAGCCCTATGGTCCCGTTTAGAAGAGTCCCATCTCCGCTAACGCTCATTTTCGGGAATTAGAGGCCTACAATTTAATTTAATTTATTATATTTTAGACAGAGAGGGAGTGAGCGGGGTAGAGAGGAGAGGGAGAGAGGGAGGGAGAGGGAGAATCCCAAGCAGGCTCCACACTCAACACAGAGCCCGACTTGAGTTCTATCTCACATCCCGGGATCGTGACCTGAGCTGAAATCAAGAGTCTGATGCTCAACCGACTGAGCCACCCAAAGGCCTACAGTTTAAACAAAACTTCACTTACATCCAAATCGAAGCCCTTGCCCTCCCTCTCCAAACCCCTCACCCCTCACCTAGCTCATGACTGGGCTGTGCATGGGGAGAGGGGCACGGGCTACGCCAACCCCCCTTCGCTCACCTACTCCTTCCCTCTGTATCCCACCTCGCTGGCTTCTTCAGGTCCCCCCGACTTCAGAAATTTGGGCCTGGGACAATGGATGGGGAGAAGGAGGCAAACATCTCATCTGACACTGATGCTCTTACACCTTGGCACCTGGCTCCCTTTCTAGGGCCGATGCCCAGTTACCGGTTTTGTCTTCTGAGCACATTTACTGGTTCTCAGAGACATTACAATGGCCTTCCAAGTACACTGTTCCCTATCAGAGTGACCAACATACTACCCGGCTGGTCATTTATGACAACTCAGCTTGGGCCACTGACAGTCCACCCCACGGTCCCTCATTGCCGCTACTCACTTGGACAGTATCCTTTCAAAGAGAGCCAAGTGCAGTTCCTTCTACCATGTGTACTTGGCCCACGGGGTATTCCCAAATCCTCGACATGACAGATGCTGAGGCGTGAGTTGATTCCATTGACGCCCACTCTCCTGACACTCCTGCTCTAGGCTATTCCAGGACACATCACATCATTTCAAGTCTCCAGGCTGGAAGCAGGCTGCCTCTAGTCAAGGGGTGAGATGACTGTCTCCCCTTCTTGCAGTCGCCCCCTGCATCTTTCTGGCATTTCTTCTTGCAGCGTTAAAAGGGAGTGGCTCCCTACTCCTTTCTGACTAAGCGGATGATTCACTATTTTGATGACCGTCCGCCAGAATGTCTGGATGTCTGTGCAAATAGGCTGAATGCAGTCATGGGAGGAACGGAAGGACCAGTCAGTCCTGTGGAGAAGTAATAGCGCAAGAAACCAACCCAGCCGTGTGCTTCTACTCAATGCAAGCAACAGCCTGCTGTCAACATTTGTCAACTTGTATGAAGCAAGAATAGTAGATGATCCCCAACACATTTTATGTGCCTATTATAACTGACGCAAAACACTGGGGAAAATGCAGTGAAAAAAGAATATTACAGCATAAACTCACGAACGTAGGTTTAAATATTATAAATAAAATATTAGAAAAATGAATGCAGAAATCTATTACAAATATATCACAGACAAAGTGAGTTTCTTCTGGAAATTCAAGGATGGCTTAATATTGGGAAATATATTAATGTGACTCAACACATTAATAGACAAACATGATTATTTCAATAGAGGCCAAAAAAAAAAAAAAAAAAAAAAAAAAAAAAAAAAAAAGAAAGCATTTCATAAGATCCAGCATCTGTGATGATAAGAGCTCTTCATCAACTTGGAATCAAAGGAAATTCACTTAACTCTACCAAGACCCCACAGCAAATGCGTTACTTACTGATGAGAAATTGGAAACCTTCCTTTTAAAGTCAGAACCAGATACAGATTCTCACTCTTACTGCTGCCATTTCGCCCTCTACTGGGGCCTTAGCAGCCACCATAAAGAAAATCACAAAGCAGAGGCCTAAGGATTGGAAATTCTTTAAAGTTGCCATTTATTTTTTTAAAAAAAGTGTTTTTCCACATAGAAAACACAGGATCAGGGGCGCCTGGGTGGCTCAGTGGGTTGAGCGACGGACTTCGGTTCAGGTCATGAACTCACAGCTCGTGAGTTCGAGCCCCCGTGTCAGGCTCTGTGCTGACAGCTCGGAGCCTGGAGCCTGCTTTGAATTCTGTGTCTCCCTCTCTCTCTGCCCCTAACCCACTCGCATTCTGTCTCTGTCTCTCTCAAAAATAAATAAACATTTAAAAAAAAAAAAAAGAAAGAAAAAACACAGCATCATCTACAGACTACGGCACCTTTTTAAAAAGGTCAGCAAGATTGCTTAATACAATACCAGTATATTCGCCTCTTTATCCAACAGCAAGAACCAATTACAAGGGTATTTTAAAAATGCCATTATACAAGATACTTAGAGATAAATCTAATAAAAGAAAACCTTTATGGAGAAAAATTATAGAACCTTACTGAAGGACTCAGAAGAAGGTCTAAATAAATAGAGAAAGCTATTCCACAGATCAGCAAGGAAAGAATCAAAGTCATGAAGATGTCAACTTTCTCCTAATTAACATATAAATTGAATGCAATTTCAATCAAAATTACACTAGGGATTTTTTAGGGAATTTGAATAGCAGATTGTAAACTCCTAACAGAAAAGTAAAGAGCTAAGAACAGCCGAGATAAATCTGAAACATGGGAATACCTCCTACCAAATATCAAGATTTACCATAAATCTACAGATTAAAACCACATGAAGGTACATCCACGGAGCAGTCCAGGGAGCCCAGAAATGGACACACAAGTACGCATGTAAAGGGTATATGGGAAGGGTGGTGTGACAGATCAGGAGAAGAGCACCTTCATAATGGAGCAGACAATCAGCTACCCATCTGGGAAATGACAGGTACCCTACTACCCACCGTAGTCACAGCTTAATTCCACACAGACAGATAGGACACTGGAGTAATGAAACGTTGCCTAAATGAAAAATTTCATAAGTGAGACCAAAAAATACAAAAACAAACTTGACTATATTACCATTTTTTAATTCTATAAAGCAGAAGCACTTACTAAAATTAAACATAAGTCAAAGGCTGGGAAAAGATATTTGCAAAGCACATAACACTAAAGAATCCGCATCTAGAATATGAAATAACTGTAAGTCAATAAGAAAAAAACTTAACAATTTATTTAAGGTAGGCAGAGGGCCTGAAGAGTATATGAATAGCCAATACAAATATAAGAAGACACTTAAGATACTGAAACTCACTGGTAATTCTAGGAATACAAATTAAATATTAGGTGTTACTTAACAAACAACTTGATTGGTCCATGTTTTAAAATATCATATTATCCTGGGGTGCTTGGGTGGCTCAGTCGGTTAAGCGTCCGACTTCGGCTCAGGGAATGATCTCGCAGTTTGTGAGTTGGAGCCCTACGTCGGGCTCTGTGCTAACAGCTCAGAGCCTGGAGCCTGCTTCGGATTCTGTGTCTCCTCTCTCTGCCCCTCCCCTGCTCACGCTCTGTCTCTGTCTCTCAATAATAAATAAACATGAAAAAAAGTGTTTTTAAATATCATATTATCTAATATTGGCAAAGATTAGGAACTCTCCTATACTGTTGATATAGGAGTATAAATTAATGCACTTTAGAAAACAATTGGGCAACGACTATTAGGTTGAAAAATGTTCCTAATTAATGATGTGGCAATGTCACTGCTGAGTGCTCTAGAGAAACTTTCATACCTTCATAAGGAGACATGAGCAATATTGTCTGAAAGAAACAGAAGAAGGGAAACACCCCAGGTGGCCACCCAATGAGGGGAGTCCGCACCTGGACTGGTCTGCAGCTGACCCCAGCTCCGAGGGCCGTGCAGGTTGTTAGAGCTGGTGCACATCTGATTGGTCAGGGCCAATGAGTCACTAGCTGTTAAATATTTTGAACATCACCTCTGGGATAATCTGTGATTTGTTCATCCAATGGATTACAGAGTCAGAATGAATAAACTAGTTCCACCTGTCTTTATACGCAAAAATCTCAACAACATAACATTGAATACAAAGCAAAGTTGTAGAAAGATATTGTTTGTGCTAAACGCACACACACGCACACACACACAGCCACTCTTGTTCAAGGAGGCATAATTATATCACAAATATATCTAAAATATGGATGGGATCACATATACCAAATACACACTTAACTTTCAGGATGGCGGACCCCCTGAAGAGGAAAGCAGGGGATAGACTCTCAGTGATGTTATATCTTTTTATCGTTTTTAAAAAGATACAGAGCATAAATGCAAACTACTGATATTTATTAAATCTGGGTGGAACTATTGTGTCTATTGATTTTTTAAATATTTATGCATGTCTGAAATATAATTATTATTTTCTCAAGATTAAGAGATTCTATTTTCAAACTATTTAAAGCTTTCACCATATGGAATCAAATCAACTGACTGTGGCTGTAATTCACTTAAAATAAACAAGTGTGAAAAACTCTGGCTTGTAAAAAAAAGACCAATTTAGAGGCTTATTAATCACATTAAAATGTATTCATTATATAATTCACAAAACAGAATATTTTATGATGCAATCAAAATTGTTTGATTTATAATAATGTGATTTACATTTAACTTTTCTGAAATACCCGTGTTAACTCATCTTTCCTGTGCATCTTAGAGAGATTCGTCTGAGGATAATTTTAGATGCAAAGGAAACTTGGGAAGGAAGGAAAGCCTCAGAGAATTGTCACAAACAATGAGGTGTTCATACTCTTTATTCTCCAAATCGATCACCTGAAATATGATACTGTGAAAACTTTGGGAAGAGAAAAGCTGCTTTTAACTGAAGTTAAGTAGAAAGTAAAACCCTCGTAATTTGCGCACAGAGTGGCACTGATGTCTGCGTACCTCTGTCCCTCGAAGACTGAGTGCCTTCTCTCCTTGGCCTCATTTTCATCCTCTTCTCGAAGTTTCCTCTGAGCCTCTTCCTTGTCTTTGGCCCGTTTGAGGCGGTAAGCTTCCTCTTGCTCTCTGATTTGTTGTTCAATTACTGGAAAGTTCTGCAAGGCCTGAATCCTTTCTGAACGCTCGATTTCTTTACCGTCCAACCACTTGAATAAAAAACAACCAACATGGTGTAGTTATTCAAAAGTCACAATTTGAATCACGTTGACTTTGACTGGAATACTGTAAATTTAGAAATAACAAATAATGCACCTTGGTGATATGGAATTAAAAGCAAAGTAATGAATGGGAAACATCAGAAACTTTGATCTAAATCAATGTCTATTTCATATAATTAACAGAGTTACAGAGTATCTTTATGGGTAAAATAATAAGTATGTTGTCTGTTGAAACCAATTATTAGTGACAAGCTCTCAAAATCTATGGATTTTATACCTGCTCGCTATATAAAGAACATCAAAGCTTCAGGTCAGACCACAGCTCCAAAGTATAACGGTGCCACCTCGAAATGCTCTCTACAAAAAGGGGTCTTGTATATTAGACAGAGTTGGGCTCCAATACGAATGGGCCCATTTTCCACCCTCGACAACAAGATGCACCCAGTAGGTTGTCAATTGTTATGGTCACTGTTTATACCTGGTATTTTCAAAGTGATTTGCCAAGCTGAAATACTAAAATAAAAACACCAATTAAAATGTGAAGTTTCAAAGCTACTAGTTTAAAAACACCTATGTATTTTGCCCAGCCCCATTGTATAAAAAGAGGTAAGGCATTAGAAATGCAAGGTAGGCTGTATAACGGCCCCTCAAGAATGTTCACCTTCTCATCCCTGTGAATGTTACCTACCATGGCAAAAGGGTCTTGGTAGCTGTGATTAAGTTAAGGGTGTTAAGATGGAGAGATCATCCTGGATTATCTGGATGGGCCCGGTGGAACCACAAGGGTCCTCATAAGGGAAAGAAGAAGGCAGAAGTGGCAGGGTCAGAATCGGGGAGAGATCAGAGGAAGCCACCACTGCCGGCTTTGAGGCTGGAGGCAAGGGCCACAAGCTCACACATGCAGGCAGCCTCCGGAAGCTCAACGTGCAGGGAAAGGAGTTCTCCCGGAGGGAGGGCGGCCCAAGGCACGCAGCCTTGCCAACACCTGAACATCAGACTCCTGACTCCGGGACTATAGCGGCAAACATCTGTGTTGTCTTAAGCCACCACGTTTGTGGTAACTCACGACCACAGCAACAGGAAACTAATGCACAAGGAAAAACACACGAAGCTTGGGTAAAATAGAAATCTAACAAATTATCGGGATCGGTAAAATCATAAACCAAGATCACAATGCTGACATTTGGAAAAAGAATTTAAAATACGCTTTGGACACAAGGACCCATGTGGCTGTTGTGGATGGGCTGCCGGTGTCGGGCACGTGCCCGACAGCTGTCACAGGCTTCTAGCCTGACCGCCACAGCAGCAACCCGGGGCTCGGCTGGGCTGGCCCCTGCACCCTTCCAGGGATGTGGCTCATAGTGCTATGAGCCTGTTTCTGTGCAGGGCCTGTTTCTGTGATATTCTGGTTCTCATCAGTTCATTTTGTTAGTACGTCACTGGATAATGAAGATCAGCTTGGGTTATGTTTGAGCTCATTTATCATTTTATTCTAAATATATGTTCTGGATTCAATTACCTGAGTGACTCATTCTCTTAATCAAAAACATTTCACATTAGAAGAAATGTGCTCCGTTACTCCAGCAATCTCGACTATGCAGGACACGGCAGTCTAAAAACAAACGTCCTCTGAGAATAGAAGAAAATGCCTATGGTGAAGCCAGTGCATCCATGCGTTTTCTTGCAGAAGCATGGGGCCACACGCAGGTCAGACATTCTTGGAATTACATGAAAGTTAACATTACTCGTTTAATGTAAGCAGGTATAGGATTTCTCTAGAAACCACCTGTTTTTTCCCCAGGTTCCAAAAATATTAGGTTAGGGGAGATACAAGATAAGAGATTAGCCACATCGGGTAGAGGTTGTCAGATGAGTTCCCTGGACCAGCAAGCATCAGTGAAGAATCCTCCGGGGCGCCTGGGTGGCTCAGTCGGTTGGGCATCCGACTTTGGCTCAGGTCGTGATCTCGCGGTTTGTGGGTTTGAGTCCCGCGTCCGGCTCTGTGCTGACAGCTCAGAGCCTGGAGCCTGCTCCTGATTCTGTGTCTCCTTCTCTCTCTGCCCCTCCCCCGCTTGTGCTCTCTCTCCCTCTCTCTCTCTCAAAAATAAATAAATGTAAAAAAAAAAAAGAAAAGAAAAAAGAAATGAAAGAATCCTGTGTGCCACATCAGACCTAAAAATCAGAAACTCTGGGGTGGGGCCCAGCAAACACCACCCAAGTATTCCAAAGCATAGCAAAGTTTGAGAACTGCTAACACAGAGAACGTGTTAAGAGAAAGCAATGATAAAAAGAAAATACTTATAAAAGCACAGTAGCTTAAGACAGTGTAATACAGAGGTATGTAGCTGTAGTAATCTCAAAAACTCTTTAAGTTTTCAGTCTGCTATTAGTAATGATGAATGCCCTCCATGACTCTAATTTGCATTCCTCAACAAACAGTTTAGGGGCGCCCGGGGGGCTCAGTCAGTTAAGCAGCTGACTCTCGGTTTCAGCTCAGGTCATGATCTCACGGTTCGTGAGTTTGAGCCCTGCATCAGACTGCACACTGACCGTGTGGAGCCTGGTCGGGATTCTCTCTCTTTCTCCCTCTCTCTCTCAGCCATGCCCCCCCGCCCCAATCGTGTGCACTCTCCGTCTCTCTCAAAATAAATATATACACTTAAAAAAAAAAAAAGAAAGAAAGAAACAGTTCAGTTAAGCTCTGTTGTGTTCTGAAAGGAGAAATGTATTTAATCTATTCTTCAGAGTTTATTCAAGCTATCAAAACAACTTTAAAGTGTCGGTACGTCGAAGGGTTGGTTTCGATTTTCTGGAATCTTCCCTCCTCTAAAACTACCCCTTCCCCGACGATGCCGCGAATGAATCAGGCATCACTGCGGCTGCTTGTTTTCCTTTTTCCGAGGTTTCTGCATCATTAAAATAAGCGTACCTTTAACTGCTGTAGCGTGGCCACCACGAACTGCCTGTAGCCGTCAAAGTCAGCACACGGGTTACCCATGAGAAAGAGCTCCTTCAGGTGGATATTGTGCCCAAGCGTTTTAACGCTGCTCAGCTCTCCAATGAAGTTTACGGTCAGGTCGAGTTTTGTCAGCCCTTCACATCCTGTTGAAAGGAGTGGAAAGAACACAAAGCAAAAAAAAAAAAAAAAAAAAAAAAAAAAAAAAAAAAAAAAAAAAAAAAAATCACACTGGTAATAAAATGTGTGTAACAGTTCATAGCAGAGACAACGGTTGGAATAGTTTAAGCCTGCGGATTAAGTGCATCACCCAACAAGTGGGTGTTCAGAAACAGCACCTCAAAGGGTTAGCTCTAATTCCTGTCTCAATCTGCACTTCCCTTTTGTCCCTGCGGCCAGGGGAAATCACTTTCCCTGCTCATATCTGCGAGGCCAGGGGGGAAATAACTTCCCCTGCTCATATCTGCGAGTCCCGGGCTGGTAAACATGTGCATTTGGTCACCATGTGGTGTGAAGAAAGCCAAGTACCAGCTGCTGCCAGGGAGCACCCGACATCAGGACGAAGATCCCTCTAGAGAGGACACCATCAATCTGTCTGAGAATTCTTCCAGGTAGGCGAGACACATCTCGCCATGAGGGGTGATGGTGGCGGGAGGGTTCCCTAAAAGGAAAAGGCGGTTCATAAACCCCAGGCATCAGAATTAATGTTCATGAAGTCACAGCGAAGACACAGAATGGCTCCAAGGCCACCGAGAATGGCACTGCAAGTATCAACAAAGGTAAAGAAGAGTTTGGTCCTCAGGGGAGTAACAGAAAAAGGGGCAGTCGCTGAAGCGGAGCTTGTCGTAAATCGGCCCCACCTACCTTCACTAGAGGGACAGCCGGATGCTACGGAGATCTGAAGCAACAGCCTTCACTCAGGTTCCCTGAGAGCTTGGTAGTTAGGAATGCATCCTGGAGAATTAGGCAGATGGGGGTTCAAGTCCCAGCCCAGCCTCGTCCAGAATTTCGTGTTTTCCTCCTATCTGGTCATATCCCAAACCAGAATCTTCCAAATGAGACAGTGCTAGCTCAGGGCTTCCAGATGGATGTAGGACCTCACCCTCCATTCATTCATTCATCCGTCCATTCATCCAGGAGTTACTGGGTACCCACTGTGACCAAGTTAATGAGCCAGGTCTTCAGGATAAAGTGGTTAAAAAAAATCCACGGCGTTTCACCTCAAGTGTATGTTTAATATAGGGAAAGGAGAAAAAAGATGGGCATTCCAGGAAAAGAAGGTACTTGGTGCAAAGGCACCGAGAAGTGAATCTAGAGGAGACAGAACCAGAAGGAGGCAGTGCCCATTGTTACATTATAAACCAGCCTAAATCAATATGTACTGGTTCTTCTTTTTCAATTCCCATTCATTGTTCAGCCCAGCGTTCCTGGCTGCCATCCCCAACATTCTAGTGGGTTTGTTCCTCTACAGGGGACCAAGGACCTTCGTACCGACAAAATTAACAGACCCCTCAATTCATTATGTCACTAGAACAGTCTGCTGACATGGCCTGATTAACCACAAATTCTCTCCTTTAAACATTTTTTACAGATTGATTTTCTTTGTCTTTTTAGCTTTATTTATTTGTTTACATCTAAATTTTTCATTGCAGTTAGTCAACATACCATGCTATATAGTTTCAGGTGTGCAATACAGTGATTCAACAATTCCATACATCACCTGTTGCTCATCACATCAAGTGCATCTCTTGATCAACCATGACTTCTCTTTGAAATGTTTCATCTGTCTTGGAAAAAGTGATACTGCTCTCTCCTTGTCCTCTTTTATGATGCAGTTTCTTCCTCTTGATCCCCATTATAGACTTTTCCACTCCATCAATGGTAATAGAGCCCAGATTTCCATCCTTGACCCAGTATTTTCTCTCCTCATGGCTCTCTTGACGACAACAGTTGCGTTCCTTGGTTTAAGCAACCCCAAATTCTGATGAGTCCCAAACAATAACTTTGTATCTGACCATCCAACCGAATGTCATACTCCTCTTTCCAAATGCCTGTAAGACATATCCCATTCGATATGTCTAAAAATGAATTCTCCATTTTTCCTCTCACTCTCCACTCCTCACGACAGCTTTCCTGCCTCCTTGATGTCTAAATCCTGTCAACGCCATTGCCATTTTGGTATCAGATGTGTTTGCGGCCAAGAGTCAAGCCAGAGTTAACTTGAGTGCTAACCTAAGTTGTTCCCTTAACCCCTCCATTACATCAGTCACCAAGCCGCACAGATCTCAATGGCCACGTTGTCCTACCTACTTCTTGTCCACTGTAATCCTGTGACCAACAGTACAGTTCAGGTTCTTATCCTCCTGTGCATGCAACATAGCATATGTCCTAAATCATCTTTCTATTTTGAAAACAGGAAGGAAGGACCAAAAGAAGACAAAGGGTGACATTTCAAAGACTCCCAACAAGTTCAAAAATGTATATGTATTTGATTTTATTGTAATTGTTTCCATGAAGGACCCTCCAAATGTTCATTATGGTTTTCAAAGTGATAAATCTTAATTGTTTTTCTACTTGGCCTACCCATAAGAAATGAAACCCCATCCGCCATTCTAATGAACAATTCTTGCTGAACTAGCCAGGCGTGAGAAAGCCTCTTCTTTGAAGTTAAGTACTCCTTCCTTTAACTGATTCCTCCCCTCCATCTCTCCTGTTCTTGGAAGATCCATGTCAGTGGCCCGTGGGGCTGAGAAGGTCATTGAGACAACACTGATCTCCCAAGGGGGAAAGCTCACACTATTAGAAACCCCACCTCTCCTTCCAAGTTAGGGTAAGGAAGAGGGATGGAAAAAGAAGACAGTTTATTATATCCCGGTGAATCCACGATGGAGGGGGGTGCGGGAGGTATGCTAGCTAATTCTTGCCATCCAGCAAAACATAAAAATAAACAAGTGGATATCCATCTTTTTAAAAAAATTTTTTTAACATTTATTTTTGAAGGAGAGAGAGAGAGACAGAGCGTGAGTGGGGGAGGGGCAGAGAGAGAGGGAGACACAGAATCTGAAGCGGGCTCCAGGCTCCGAGCCATCAGCACAGAGCCTGATGCGGGACTCGAACTCACGGACCGTGAGATCATGACCTGGGCCGAAGTCGGATGTTTAACCGGCTGAGCCACCCAGGCGCCCCTATCCATCTTATGTCTAAAATTATACTGCAATTTACTCAAGTAGGTGGGCTGAGTCTGTATATCCATCTTTCCCCCCCTCTTACCTCAAACCTTTAAAATTAAACAAAAAGTGTACATTTGCCAGCCAATATGATGCATCCTCCCTTCCTACTGCCCATCCCCCCAAACACATCCTCCACCCGCGCCCTGCGGCCTCCCTCTTAGAGCTGGAAGGTGGCGCCCCCATGGGAGAAGCGTCCAGGAAGAGGCCTGCGTGGGCTGTGGACTACGGTTCCCCAAACTCAGACAGACAACAGTGACAATGCTGCCCTCTAGTGGCGGATGTGCAAAACATACCGGAAAACAACTCTCGGCTTCCTTTGAGGTATTTTAACAAAAACAAGCCTTGGACAGGCCGACTGAGAGTGACAGTTTGAATTACTTCTCTGCCATCACAGACTGACATTTTACTACCACAAGACGCGCATACAGAGTCCATTTTTCCATCCCACTTGTTCCCATGAGAACGTGGAATGGGGCTGTCGAGTGGCAGCTGGGGGAGAAGGACGGCTCCAGTTCTCATGCAGAAAAATGCCCATGATGGAAGAAAGAGTCTCCCCAGTTCCAGCACTGATGATGGCTTTGGGGCCTTTGACAGCGATGACAGCTTAGGTTTCGAGGATGGACATTAAGAACGTATGATGAACACTTAGGTCACTGTTGGCACGCAACCTTGACAGCCACTGAAACACCCATTTCTACGCTGGGCGGCAAACACGCTAAAATCTACCACCCTAAGTAAAGTCCTCCTAATTTTAGCTATTGGCAGATGGGAGTGGGGTGGGGAGAGCAGCCTGCCTGCCTCTGCTCCGAGCCCCTGTACTCCAGAGTAAGGCCTGCCAGGCGGCGTGCCCAGCCCACAGCAGCCCTGCCAGCCAAGCGGGAGGCCGGATGTGGAAAGAGAACCTCACAACTGCAGAAGAAGCCAGCACTGGCCACCGGATCGGCCAAATCCTTTGATTGTGAGCAGACACCAAGTGTTACCAGACATCGCAAAATAAATAAAAGCACGAGACAGAAGCCCGCAAACTGAAACAAGAAACCTTCCAGAATGTGGAGTGACAAGACAAAGAGGTTTACATAAGGAATACAGGGTAAGAGGCATGGAGAATCGATCTAGGATGACCAAATCCATTTTAAGGACATTCCAGGGGAAGTGAGAGAAAAAAGGGGCTGGATATGTCTATTCCCTTGATCGTGGTGATGGTTTCACGGGTGTGTGCGTGTATCCAAACTCAACAAACTGTTCACTACCTATGTGCAGGTGTTTGTGCATCAATTAAACCTCAATAAAGCTATTAAAAAAAAAAGGTTGTGCTCCAAAGAGCATCAAGAAAGTTGACAAGAAGACCTCAAGATGAAAAGACGTATCTATAAATCATGTATCTGACCAGATATTAGTATCCAAAACCTATAGATAGGCCTTACAAATCAACAATAAAATGACAAATCACCTAATTAGAAAGTGGGCCAAGGTTCTGAATAAACATTTCTCCAAATAAGATACACAAATGTCCAAACTCATCCGTCATTAGGTAAACGCAAATCAGAACCATGATAAGACACCCTTCACATCCATCAGGATAGCCCCTAGAAAATAAAGAAAGAAATAAAAACAGGAAATAACAAGTGCTGGAGAGGATGTTGAGAAGTTGGAGCACTCAGAAATTGTTGGTGGGAATATAAAATGGTGCAACTACTTTAAAAAATAGTTTGGCATCTCCTTAAAAAGTTAAATGGAGAGTTACCACATGATTCAGCAGTTCCCTAGGTATGTACTAAATTAAGTTAAAACATATGTTTATGGGGCTCCTGGTTGGCTCAGTCAGTTAAGTGGCTGATTTCAGCTCAAGTCATGAACTCACAGCTCGTGAGTTTGAGCCCCGCATCGGGCTCTGTGCTGACAGCTCAGAGCCTGGAGCCTGCTTTGGAGTCTTTGTCTCCTTCTCTCTCTGCCCCTCTCCCGCTTCCCCTCTCTCTGTCTCTCTCTGTCTCTCTCTCAAAAGTAAATAAGCATTTAAAAAAAAAACCACGTTCATGCAAAAGCTTATACGTTAATGTTCATAGCAACTTCATTTATAACCAAAAAGTGGAAAAACTCAAACATCCATCGACTAATAAATGGGCAAAGTGTTGTGTATCCATACAATGGAATGTCACTCGGCCACAAAAATGAATGAGGTACTGATACCTGCCACATGTGGATAAACCCTGAAAACACGCTACAGACACAAAGGACCACATACTGTGCAATACCGTTTACATTAAGTGTTCAGAGAGAGGAAATTTATGGGCACAAACAGATCAGGGGCTAGGTAGGGCATGGAGGAAATGAGGAATGAATGGCAGTGGATACAGGTTTTCATATGGGGTGAAGGAATGTTCTGGAATCGGATAGTGATAATGGGTGTACAACCTTGTAACTATACTAAAAACCCTTGAATTGTATAATAGAAAAAAAGTGAGTTTTATGGCATGTGAATTATACAGCAATTAAAAATAAATGCTTCAAATATTTCAACTAAGAGACATCCTGAGAAAAAAGTACGATTTTCCAAATTCATCTTATTTTATTTTATTTTTCATTGAGGTATAATTAACACACGCATTATACTCGTTTCAGGTGTGCAACACAGGGATTCAATACTTGTACATATTGTGAAACGATCAGTCTACTTAGCATCCGTCACCTTACACAATTACAGAAGTTTGTTCTTTGTGATGAGAACTTTTAAGATCTACTTTCTTAGACATTTTCAAATATGCAGTACAGCATTATTAATTACAGTCGCCATATGGTGCATTACATGCTCATGATTTATTTAGTTTATAGTTTTTTAAATATAATTTATTGTCAAGTTAGTTAACACACAGTGTATCCAGTGTGCTCTTGGCTTCAGGGGTAGATTCCCATGATTCATCACTTACATACAATACGCAGGGCTCATCCCAACAAGTGCCCTCCTCAATGCCCATCACCCATTTTCCCCTCTTCCCTGACCACCCCCCCCCAGCAACCCTTAGTTTGTTCTCTGTATTTAAGGGTCTCTTATGGTTTGCCTCCCTGTTTGAAACTATTTTTTTCCCTTCCCTTCCCCCTTGGTCTTCTGTTAAGTTTCTCAAATTCCACATATGAGTGAAAACATATGATATCTGTCTTTTTCTGACTCACTTTCTTCTCAAGTGCACATGGAACATTCTCCAAGACAGATCACATACTGGGTCACATAACAGCCCTCAATAAATATAAAAGGAATGAGATCATACCATGCATATTTTTAGATCACAATGCTATGAAACTTGAAATCAACCATAAGAAAAAATTTGTAAAGCCTCCCAATGCATGGAGGTTAAAGAACATCCTATAAAGAATGTATGAGTCAACGAGGCAATTGAAGGAGAAATTTAAAAATATATGGAAGCAAATGACAATGAAAACATGACAGTCCAAGCCCTATGGGATACAGCAAAGGCAGTCCTAAGAGGAAAATACATTGCAGTCCAGGCCTACCTCAAGAAACAAGAAAAATCCCAAACACAGAACCTAACCTCACACCTAAAGGAACCAGAAGCAGAGCAGCAATGAAAGCGCAAAGCCAGCAGAAGAGAAATAATAAAGATTAGAGCAGAATTGAACAATGCAGAATCCAAATTAAAAAAACACAGTAGAACAGATCAATGAATCTAAGAGCTGGTTCTTTGAAAGAATAAACAAAATTGATAAACGCCAAGCCAGACTTCTCAAAAAGAAGGGAGGGAGGACTCAAATAGATAAGATCACAAATGGAAGAGGAGGGATCCCAACCGACACCACAGAAGTACAATTATTAGAGAATACTATGAAAAATTATATGCCAAAATACTGCACAACTTGCACGAAATGGACAAATTCCTGGACACCCACACACTACCAAAGCTCAAATGGGAAGAAATAGAAAATTTGAACAGACCCATAACCAGGGAAAAAATGGAATCCGTTATCAAAAATCTCCCAACAAATAAGAGTCCAGGACCAGATGGCTTCCCAGGGGAGTTCTACCAGACGTTTAAAGCAGAGATAATACCTAGCCTTCTGAAGCTGTTCCACAAATAGACACGGAAGGAAAGCTTCTGGACTCATTCTATGAAGCCGGCATGACCTCGATTCCCAAACCAGGCAGACCCCACTAAAAAGGAGAATTATTTTATAGTTTTAAGGTTTGTACCTCTTGGCTCCCTTCCTCTCTTTTGCCTGCTCTGCCCACCCCCACCCCTGACAACCACCGAATCTTCTGTTCTGTGTATCTCTGAGCTTGGTGTCTTGTTTGTTTTGTTTTATTATTCAGATTTCACATATAAGGAAGATCATACGGTATTTGTCTTTGGCTGACTTATTTCACTTAGCATAATGGCTTCCATGCCCGTCCACGTTGTCATAAATGGCAAGATTCCATTCTTTTTTATGGCTACATAATATTCCATTGTGTACACGTGTACGTCATTTTCTTTATCCAAAAACGTACCCTTTTACATGATAAATTTGAGAGGTACTAGAGATATTCAATGTAAAAATACAATCATTAAAACTAGAACTTAATGTAGAATGTATTTATATTCAGAAACTATAAAGAAAAAGTGAAAAGTTGAGTCTATTAAAATGTAATACTTCTGAATGATGCTAGCATCATAAATGGAACAAAGGAAAAGTAGCAGACTCAAGAGAAAATATTTATAGCATACATAACAAAACATTAATATCTGGAATGTTTAAGAGCAACTAAAAAAGATAAACCAAAATAAAAATAACCAATAAATGTAAAGTAGAGGAGATAAGAAATACAAATACTCTATAAAAATCTGAAGGATTATATGGACACTCAATACTAATAAGGGAGATGTAAATAATTTAAATAAATATTTGATAATAATGCCTTTGTTTGTTTGGTTTTTTTAAAAAGATTGCTTATTGGGGTGCCTGGGTGGCTCAGTTAAGTGTCCAACTCTTGGTTTCAGCTCAGGTCATGATCTCACAGTTGGTGAGTTTGAGCCCCACATTGGGCTCTGTGCTGAAAACCTACAGCCTGCTTGGGATTTCTCTCTCCCTCTCTCTCTACCCTTCCCTGGCTTGCTCTCTCTCTCTCTCTCTCTCTCTCTTAAAAAAAAAATATTAAAAAATTGTTTACTAAAATTATTAGTGAGGTTGTGTAAAAATGGGTACTCACATGGACAATCAGTACAAAAGTAAATTGATATAACCTTTTTGGGGAATAACTTGGCAATTCTTATCAAAATGTGCGTATTTAAACCTAGGAATTCCATTTCTGTGTGTTTATCCTATAAACACATGCACACAGAGCGAACTGTGAAGAATCCTCATTGCAGCCATGCCTATTATACAAAATGCTGGAAACCACCCAAATGCCCATCTGCAGAAAAATTGTTAGATAAATCAGTCTACCATCATTCTGGTAGAAAGCCCCCGTGGTTCCTGGATGTGAAAGAACAAGGTAATTTCACAGAAGAAATCAATTCTCAAAACAATACTCATAGTATGGTCCCATTGATAAAAAGCAAATGAAACAAAACTAGCTTGTATTCAACCAAGGTTTATTTTTTTTATAAATGTTTACTTATTTATTGAGACAGAGAGAGAGAGAATCAGAGAGAGAGAGAGAATCCGAAGTAGACTCCACCATCAGTGTGGAGCCCGATGCGGGGCTTGATCTCATGACTGTGAAATCATGATCAACCAAGGGTTAATTTTAACACCACTATCTCTGTGAGGGAAGCTGGGTTAGGAAGGCATGAAGTGGACTTCCATTTTCGAATTCATAGATCTATTATTATTTGAACTTTCACCAATAATTAATAAACGTAAGACTTCGGTAAAATGTTAATTTGAAAAGTACACCTATTGTTTAAGCAGTACGGTTTAAATCTAGATGCAAATCTCAATTTTAATTCATAATAAAATGTAAGAAGAAAATTCTTACCTTCCAAATTTTCAATTTTTTCAATGTTGTTTAAAGCTAAGTTCAAATATTCAAGTTTCTTGAGTTTGCTAACATTTTCTGAAAGATACAAATAATGTAATCAATTAACCTTCAAGATAAACGCTATTGTCACACAATCTACTGTGAAAATGATAAAGGGAATCTAAGCATTATTATGGTTATGAAAACCGTGTTGCTTTTTCGTGTCTGTACTTGGACATGAGAGATTGTTGGTTGCCCAAAGCAACACCCATGTCTTTCTCCGTAGCTCCTAATAGAACCCACTTCTGCTCTTGTCCCCAGCCAGCTCTAACTCCAGAGGCTGGCTTCACCAAGCTGGGCCAGTGCATAGCAACAGCATGTCCCTTGTTAATGACAATTCAGGACCTAGGCTTAAGCCAACCAGCCCCCGGCAATCTCCTGGCAACGTGTGATGCAGGAGAAGACATGCAAATCAAGGTCTCCCAGTCAGATAAGAGGGAAAGGTCTGTGTTCCATGCTTGGGGATGGTCTTTTCCTTTTTCCTGCTGGATGTTATTAGGGAAGAAAGTGATACCCTTACAGATACTCACAGTCCTCTTACAGCCACGAGGAAACCAGCAGCAGGAGGGAGCCCGTGCTGTGGTTGGGGAGCAGAAAGAAGGCATCGCCGAACCCTGGAGACTGTCCTATCTCTGGGCTTACCGGTGGGTAAGATATGTGATTTCCTTACTGGTAAGCCGCAATGAAGCTGGGGTTTCCTTCACGTGAAATCAAATTTACCCTGATACATACAGGATTATTGTTTTTAACAAACACAAAATCTCTTAGAGGCAAAATGATAAGCATAAATAAGTCAGAGAATTTCTGTAGGACGGGGACACTTAAAAATGCTAATAATACTGGGGCGCCTGGGTGGCTCATTTGGCTCATAAGCTTCCAACCTCGGCTCAAATCACGATCTCGCGGTTCAGGAGTTCGAGTCCCACGTCGATCCGTGCATCAGGCTCTGCACTGAGAGCTTCGGATCCTGTGTCTCCCTCTGTCTCTGCCCCTCCCTCCCTTGTGCTCTCTCTCTCAAAGATAAATAAACATTTTTTTAAAAACTGCTAATAATACCATAGGTAACATCATTGAGAGCTTATTATATGCCATGTATATTTCTAAGCATTTTGCATATATGATATCATTTAATCCTCTTAACAACCCCGTGAGGTAAAAATTACTGTTGTCCCCTTTTCCAAATAGGAATACGAAGGTGCAGAGAATTAATCACTTGTGCAAGGTTCAGTGGCAAAGCCAGGAAATCTTGACTCCTGAGTATATATCATGACACCACACCCTAAAAGCACAGTCCTTTCTAAGAGGACACGAATGTAGGAAACCCTGCTAAGGAATGTGGATTTGGGAATTCCTCACTTCAATAAGGCTCCTTCTGCCCATTTTCCATGGAGATTAGGAAGATCAAATATGATAAATTTATAGTTATCATCACCTTTATCATTGTTACATTTCGTTTAAAATTTAGAAAATGCCACCTACGTGTTCCCCGTAGACCTAAGAGTAACACTTTATCTCTCTAAGCCTCAGCGTACTCATTTGTTTGAAACGAGGATCTGGGAATAAATTCCTAGAGTTTCTCTTAGCAATTAGATGATTGTAAGTAATACTGATGTTTCCAGGAGGTTCTCTAGGCAACACTGGAGCATTCAACAGTCAACAGATTTGTGAAGCTCTGTGTGCAAACAGAGTGTCTAGTCTGCACCCTAAACAAAAATACCTGAAGTTATTACTGTTAAAACTACCAGCCGACAACAAAATACTTGCTCCTTCCCCACATTTGTTACATGTATAACCTTCTAAATGTGAAAAGGGTCTTCTGATAAGGAAAAAAAAAGGAAGATTTGTTTTAGGAGGATTTCTTAAACTATCTCTCAAGAATAACGGGCTGAAAAAAAAGGAAAACAGGCTAAGGAGGGGAGCCTGGGTGGCTCCGTCGGTTAGGCGCCCCAACTCTTGATTTTGGCTCAGGTCGTGATCTCAGAGTTCGTGAGGTTGAGCCCCAAGTCGGGCTCCGCACTCTCAGCGCAGAATCCTGCTTGGGAGTCTCTCTCTCTCCCTCTCTCTCTCTGCCCCTCCCTCCCTGTCAAAATAAATAAATAAACTTCAAAAATTAAAAAAAATTAAAAAAAAAAGAATAGGTTAAATTGGTCAGGGGGAGAAAAGGCTCTGCAGATAATAACACACAGCACTCTTGGCAAGCGGGAACGGAGGCAGCCAAACCGTGGTTCTAGCCCAAACCATCCTGGAAACAGTTCTCACCCATGGCCATTACCAGACCCACAGACTTGCCCTGGACCAAAGCCACCCCCTAGTGCAATCAGCTCTGCTCTCAGGTAGGCCTCAGGCTCACTGGGGAGCCATTGCAAATGCAGATTTGGGGAGCCCCCCAGCAGGTTAAGTCAGGAGGTCTGGGAGGGGGCTGGAGCCCCAGGTTAACAAGACCAGGGGGGTCCTGGGCTCACCCTGGGACCAGCACTAAGCACAGCCCCCCAAGCGAGCCCATGTGCACCCCGCAATGAGGAACAGAGCTTCAGGAGAGGCAACCATTTTTTTTGCAAGCTCCTACCTCGAGGGCACAAGAGCCAGTCTGAGTCCCGGAGAAACACTTTTGCTTGCTAATAAAGTGCCTAAGTGCCTATGGGTGGAGTAGCACTGAAAAATCCCATTATTAGGATTTAAAAGAGTGTTTAATTCAAGAATACTTTGGAAGCAGAAATGTAAGCTTTCTCACAGCTCTGAAAAGGCCTGAAATACTATGCCGCTAATTAGTAATTGTGATGGACCCAGCTGTGGAGATTGAAATTTCGGGAACTCTTTTAGATCTCTACAATTAGGACGGCTCCTTAATGCCCCCCCCCCCCACCCCGCAGAAAAGCTGGTGGTTTTCTCTAACAGCCTTTTTAATTGAACAGTGTGCCAGAGTTTCTAATCTCTGGTGAAGTGAAAGATGCCGAAAATAATGATCTGAAGAAAGATAAAGAATGTTAACAAATCTTCAAAAAATAATGCAGATTCCAGGCTTTTTTTTTTTTTTTTTTTTGCAACCCACCAGGGTTTCTCAGCCTCAGCAGCACGAACACTGTGGGGCCAGCCCGGGCACCACAGGACAGTTAGCGGTGTCCCGGGGTCCCGGTACAGGACATGTGGCGGCACCCCTTCCCCGCCCCCCCCCACGCCTGTGGCAACCAAAACCGTCCCGGGTGTCGTCAAACACCCCTGTCGAGAACCACACCGGGGCAAGTTCAAATGACCTTGCAGGCTGACCTCTGGTGCCAGTGCCAGAGCCACGACCCTTAGGTGACCCTTATGTCCGTCCCTTTTCCCCCCCGCCTCTGCCCCCGCCCCCACGTGGCCAGCCTGGGTGGATGACAACATTAACAGCAGTGGCAGCAGACAGCATCTGGGCGAGCGCGGAGCTCAAGAAGTAAGTGCGTTGTTTCACGCAGTCCCTGGTGTAGACACGGCAAGACTAAGTTAACAGACTCACCTGATTTCACACAGGTTTTTTTTTCCCCCCTTTTCCTTTTTGAGAGAGAGAGCATGAGCAGGGGAGGGACAGTCTGTGCTGTCTGTGCGGACAGCAGTGAGCCCGACGCGGGGCTTGAACTCACGAGCCCTGAGATCACGACCTGAGCTGAAGTCGGGCGCTCGACCGACTGAGCCACCCGGGTGTCCCCTTCACACAGTTTCTAGGTGGCCGAGGCAGGGATCAAGCCCATCAGGGCCTGCGCTCTCCTGAGTGTGGGAACACTCCTGTTTCCACCTGGCAGGTCCCCCTTCTCCCTGCCCCTTAACTCATTCTTCCCCCTGGGACCGTGAGGAGGGCCCACCCATCCGATGGATGAACTGGGAGAAGGAGCCGGGCAATGCCCGGTCCCCCTCTGTCCTGGCTTCTGGGCTCCTCCCACCAGCAGAGAGGACGCGCTCCTGTCCCCCTACTGCCATACGCAGGGGGCCTGCCAGCCTCTGGTTGCCCAGCCTGCATGTGACCGGGTGGACACATTTAACCTGAGGGCATTTTTAGGAAGCCCCCGTGGCGGCGGGTCTAGGCCACCTTCTCCAAAAGGTTTTGTCAGTTACGATGCTGACATTCTGATCCGTCTCCCCGTCACTTCATTCCTAACTGGAGCAGTAAACAGGGGTGTGGGTGTGGAACCCTCTCGAGACCCAATACGGAGCACACGGCCTCGCCCAGACACGAGCTCTGTAACCACGGCAGAACCAGCCACCATAGGGAATCTGACGAGGGTTTACTCAACTCCCATGCAACCCTTTCTGTTCCACGGAGCGGTGTGAAACCAGGACAAATGCCTGGATTCTATTTTCCTTCTTTCAAACTTTTACCAAACCCTGGCTACAAACGGGCAGGTCGACAAACATGCCTGAACATCGCAACTCCTCGATGGCGTCCCTGGAGAGCCTCAGGCAAGGGGACTAAGCAGCGTGGGAGCTCAGAGAAAGGTCCAGGCAGGCTCCCGAGAGCTGGCCGTGTCTGTTTGCCCGGGTGGTTCTTTGTCACCCGTGTCGTCTTTTTCTAAGAATCACCCTGCAACTTCCCCAGGTTTCCCCACTCAAAACGTCGAAGAAACCATGAGAACAAAATCCTGAACACTTACCAATTTTTCCAATGAGATTATTTTGAAGATAGAGGATTTTTAAGTCCCGGCACCATTTGTCAATATGCTCTAGTCTTTCTATTTCTTGCTGATGCAAGGAGAGCTCCTCCAGGGAAAAAATGACACAGTCATTGTGCTCGGAGTTCCGTCTAATAAGATCTTCTGTGACTGAAAGAAAATTTGTTATGTGTTACGTCTCCGTCCCTATGTTCATCATCAGGTTATGACATGACGAATGCGTTGGATTTTCTTCCCAGTTAAATGTCAATCCCCCAGGCCCGAGTGATTTTCAAAGGGGAAGAGAACAGACAAGTGTTGCCTTGTCTGGCGACACCATGGTGAGTCAGAGAGATTTTGCCTTTTTTGCCCAAGGTCTACCTACATTTTCCTCTAGGGATGGAGACAGAGTTGGTGGGTAATGACCATGAGAGTGTTGCTATGGCATATGTTGACATGACATCCTGTGGTGCTATCATGCCAAACTGGACGAGACCCGCTAAGGAGACCACGACAGGGCAACTTGCGACTAAGTGGCACAGTCTGGCCACCAGGGGGCCAAAAACGTGTAAGCAGCTCCCAGCGTTCAGTAAGGAAAGGTCTGTCCATTCAACCGACATTGATTAATTGAACTCGAGCTGGAGAGGGAAGAGGAGCACGCTAGATTTTGCACTGCAATCTTGTAGAGCAGCTACCCTGAGCTCTGTTTCCAGGAGGAATGAAAGGAGCCGCTCACGGGAGGGGGGGTAGTAAGAGTCCCTGCCCCTCTGACCAGAGTGCTATGCGGCACTGGGGGGGGGGGGCTGGCCTGCCACGGGGGCACCGAGGGAATGGGGACAATTCTCTGGTCCACAGTTGGAGCCAAGAGCAAGACGGGAATCCCCTTCCTAAGACACACCCAAGTTAAAGAAGTGATGACAACGGAGAAACCCTGTTTTCCAGCGCTATTAAAAAGATCATTAATCCATTTTAATGTCCTGCCTTTTAGGTGGACAGTGGAATGCTACATGTCCAGCCCAAGAGACAACAAAGATTCATTTGTTGCCACATACAAGTGCCAGGCACTGTCCTAAGTGCTTTGCATGTATTAACATACGAGTACGTATAGGGGGCAGATGAGGAATTGACGCACAGAGAGGTTCAATAACTTGCCCAGGGTCTTGGACCTCTACAGGCTCCTCTAGCCGAGACAGAGTTCTTCACAGCACCCTCGGCTGCCAACGTCCACGCCACACTCTTAAAGGTGGACTTGCCCTTTTGTTAAAAAAAAAAAAAAAAAAAAAAAAAAAAAAAAGGAGTGGGGTAGGGGGTGCCTGGATGGCTCAGTCGGTTCCGTGTCCAACTTCAGCTCAGGTCATGATCTCACGGTTCGTCAAGCTCCGCATCAGGCTCTGTGCTGACAGCTCGGAGCCTGGAGCCTGCTTCCGATTCTGTGTCTCCCTCTCTCTCTGCCCCTCCCATGCTCATGCTCTGTCTCTCTCTCTCTCTCAATAATAGATAAACGTCAAAAAAAAAAAAACACAGTGAAAACAGCTACGAACTCGATCATCTGTGTGCAGGAGGCTGAACCCCTGCTATTTCTGGTGGTAGGAGATGGGGGTGCTTGCAAAGACAGTTCTTTGGAAGTCAGGGGAAACGGGAAGGTCTGGAGATTAACACACCATGCACGGGGCACGTCCTGCTGTTCTACGTTTTGGCTCAACTAGCAGGCAGAGGTGGCTAACGGACCCCCAGCCGGGTCCCGGGGAGAAGCGGGCCCAAATGGCAGGCAAAGGGACTAACAGGGAGTTCTGGCCAGTCCTGGCCCCCCGGGGTCCCTACTGCCTGCTGCACTCCGCTGTCTCCGGATGCCACGGCTAGCACGCAAACCAGCGTAAACAGAAAACAGCTCTCTGGAAACCAAACCTCTACCAGAAGGGCATGAAAACTAGTCTCCACACATCCCACTCCCAGAGTTGGCTCTACTAGCTTCGGTCAACTGATAGTGGATGGACGGGTACAGCACGTTGAGGACACAGCAAAGCTGTTGCGTGAAGTCAAACGTATTACCTGCCTCTGTAATTATCTGTAAGAACTGTCTTAGCAACGATGCAACAGGGATGAAGGGGTTGGGACGGCACAACCAATGTTATTTCAGCGAATTCAGTGAAATGTGGGAATTATTCGCTACTACGGGTAAGACCCTCAATGACCAGGAGGGTATGTGTAACCTTAACTACACCAATCCATGGAGCAGGGGGCCGGGTTTTTGGAGGCCTTGCCGCCATCAGACCTGGAGTCCACGGGGCCAGGAGGATGTGCCCATCCGGAGCCCATGCCCTTCTGTCTAGAACACGTCCCAGGTGGCGGAACAACAGAATTCTCTGCCCAAGGGGCCCCAGGCCTGCCTCCAAGCTCGACGCTGGCCACTTCTCCAGGTCCATCCCAGACCACACCATCAGGTACGCAATCCCAAAGTGTCCAAGGAGCAGCTGTTTGCTGAGATGTGGACGGATATGCAGGCTGAGTATCCACCTTCATACGTGGGCTTGAGGGGCCAGGATAGGGCCAGAGATGGGAAGAGAAGGGAGGGATGGCCGGGGAGCCAGCTCTCCCCAGCCCTGCCCCCCCAGCTCTGGCACAGATCCCAAGGGGTTTGAGAAACGTATTAAATGTAGCCTTCTGGGTCGTTATAAAGGTCTCCTTGTCAAGGGTGGAAAATGCATTTTATGCGGCAGTTTGATTATAACTTGATACATGGGCCTTGTTATAGTCTTTCCCTGGGTCCCCAGTTGCCCCTGAAGGCTTAGTGGGTTATTCATATTGAAGATATAAACCCAACTTGAATCCCACAGAAGCCGTCATCGGTAAGTACGGTTAAGTCGAATGTGTTCAGGGGAATTCTGAAAACACCTTGTTAAGCATCACCGTCTCTGGCCTGCAAAAGCTAACATCAGCATCTGCGCAGCCCCCCGGGGGCTTCCTGGGTCTCAGAAACACTAAAGGTATCTCAGGCCTCTCCAGCTCTACAGTCTTAAAGGCTTTTCCGATTTGTCCGACCCTAAAGGCCAGCAGCTTCCTCTACGGACACCAAATATCCTTCCTACATTCCCTGGCTACACCTTTCCTAAAATTCAGAAACCCTTTTCATTATGCTATTGCATGTGTGAATTTGATCACTTCCATGCGATTGCCAAACCCTCCCTTTCAGAGGCATGTAGATATTAGGAAGGAATTATGTTGATCCGTATCTCCTAGCCGCAACAATTAAGATGATAAAAGTCACCATTAGTCAAAAGGAATGGGGGGAGAGGAGCCCCGGCCCGTAGCATAATCACTAATTGGTGTGTGCATGCACACACAGGAGGGACCCACAGCTGATCTGGCACCCCAGGGACGCCTGCCCAACAGCAACAATTACAGACAATTAGGACAGATGAAAAGAAAATGGAGAATCACAGAGGAAGGCAAGATCTCCCAGCGGCCTACTTCTGGGCTCTTCCATATTAAGCAAGCTGACACGTGGCACACCATTTTATGGCGCTCAGGAAACTGCTGTTACGCGGCACTGCCCGCCTGCAACGGCAAACGTCAGTGAGGAAACCAGCGTCCCCAGGAAGAAATGTGCAAGAGCGTCCACGCGGTGGATGGGGACAACAGTGTTCCGCGTCTCACGACAGGAAAGCATTCTGTGGTTCTACGCACCGTGTAATTCAGACCAAACGTGCTCGAGCTCCCGGGAGCACGGTTCACCTTTGGGAAGCCCTACGCCGAATACGACAGCACTGCATTTACACGAAGTCATTCCAGGGATTTAAAACTGTTTTGGAAGTCTCAGTGGGTCGTCATAACGCTATTTCGAGAGAGATGGTGTGGGCGATGCCCACCACACAGTGGAGGGAGAACATTCCCGGGTAGCGGATGAGAAACAGTGTGCTTTCACGTCCTGATTTTGGAAAAATTCGCAGAGCAAAACGCAGGACTTGAATGGATTCTGGGAAGTGTCTCGCCCACGGGGGGGTGCTAACCAAGATATGGCTGGAGCCGTCGTGGCGGGTAAAACCACTGACAGCGTAACCACGGATTCGCACTTCTCTCACTAGCAGAATGCTACTAAGGATTCCGAGGGTTTAACCGAAACTCACCGGCCAGCCCAGGCTTCTTTTCGATTCCTTACAATGACAGGGTTCTCAACAACTCCAGGGAGGGCAATAAAATGACTTTGTGGGGTGGGGGCGGGGCAAAGGGCAGAAGGAGAAGGTTTCTGGAGTCCCAGAAGTTGTCAGGCTGCCGTTTCTACCAAGATTTTTCAGTGGCTTGAGCAAAGTTCTAGAAGCTTCCAAAGCCGCCAACTTAGTGTTCACTCCTTCAGGCTTTATATCGTGTTTTGTGAACAGCCCTCGATTCCTCACTAGATTAGAATAAAGTCAATAATCTGTGTTCCTAGCAGGTTTTGCAGAATGTTTAAACATCTCGGAAGACGCAGCAGATACATTTATGACTTAACAAGAGACGAAGGGGTCACAAACAGGAGAAGGTCACCTCTTGTAGCATCTAAACTGTTCTTTCTTGTATGGTTTCCAATGGACACTTTTCAAAACAGGATTGCTCATTTGCTCTGCCTTTTTTTACTGACTCGAGGTCATCAGAACGTGCAACGCTAGCCACACGACCTAACGCAACGATACCCTCTAGCGTCTATTCACACAGAGAATGCTAGTAAAGACCATGGTGAAGTGCCATGGGGCAGTGACAGAAGTGTACAGAGGGAACAGGGAGGACAGAGAAAGGGGGGATCAGGGCTACTGAGTGACAGGAGGGACGTCAAAAGAGGCATCATGGAGAAGAAGCCTGGGCTGAGTGTTGAAACGTGAGTAGGTATTTGCAAGATAAACAGATGAGGAAGGGCGCTCCGGCTACAACGGACACTATGTTGCACTTCCCAGATCCCTCCTTCCAAACTGAAGGATCAGTTCCTCCAGCTGCTGGGAGTGGTGCCAGTGGACTGCCCTCAGGCTGCCCACTTTCTTCATAAGTCACTCCGCTGAAATGACACCCCGACCAACGCCACGCCCCTTCCCAGGAAAGCCCATATCCAACGACTGGCTGATGAGGGGCCATAAGGGCCCAGCGCTCTCACCCGAGCTTGGGAAAATCAGAATGTCCATTTCCAGTTTAGACCTCCAAGTATCCGGGTGGGTTTGTGGGTAAGGCCTTTGTTAAAATGCATCATAGCCCAACGTCCTTCCCCGCCCAGTCTTGCCTCCTTCCCTACCCGCTCCAGTAACGTTCCCGAGTGAACCTCCTACACACTAATCTGCATCGAAGAGTCTGCCTTCCAGCCAACCCAACCTGAAAGGGTTGATATCAGAAGTGGTACGTGAAGGCAGACGCTAGCCACGACGGGCCTCCGGAGTCAGAGTCGGCTGCCCGAGTGGCAATGAGGACACCATTACTGGTGGTAGGTGGGGCACAGATGGCGTCGGGCACAAGGCAGCTGGGGGACGTTCAACGCTTGCACTACAGTGTCAACCCATTTGGAATACTATAACACAAGTGCCGTAAAGCAGGTGGATTATAAACTAGAAACATTTATTTCTCACAGTTCTGGAGGCTGGAAGTCCAAGGTCACAGCACCGGCAGATCTAGTGTCTGGGGACAGCCGGCTTCCCCACTGATGGTAATCTCACACAGTGGAAGGAGCAAGTCAGGTCTCTGGGGCCTCTTTCATAAGGGCAATAATCCCAATTATGAGGGCTCCCTGCTCATGACCCACCTCCTAATACCATCACATTGAGGATATGAATGGGGGGGGGGGGACACAAACATTCAACGTATAGCGAAGAGGATAGTCATGGAAGAGATCGCACCAGTAAGTGTGACGTGACACACTGGGCAATAGAGAAATACAGGGGACACTATAACTCAAAGGACAGCTGTATTGGGTGGCTGCTGTTGTGGACACTGTTGGAAAGGAAAGGCTGGACGTGATTCATCGGACAGTTAAAAAAAGCCAGAGTAGCACACTGGCAGCGTATAAAGAGGTTTGCTTCCTAAAACCAGAGGGTAGAGAGGCCAGACAGCAAGGACCAGGACTAAATCATAAGAGGAGCAGGAACTTCATGTTCCAGACATGATGGAGTCATAGGGACAAGAAAATCCAGGAAAGAAATATATGAAAACACACACACACACACACACACACACACACACACACACACCCCAAACACTGAACATCAGGAAATCCAAAGGGAAGTCAGAAAGTGTCTTGAACAGAACAAAAAAAAGGTGGGACGCCTGGGTGTCTTGGTCGGCTCAGGTCATGAACTCAGAGTTCGTGAGTTCAAGCCCTACATCGGGCTCTGTGCTAACAGCTCACAGTCTGGAACCTGCTTTAGATTCTATGTCTCCCTCTCCCTATGTTCCTCTCCCACTTGCACTCTGTCTCTCTGTCTCTCTCAAAAAAAAAAAAATATATTTTTTAAAAGGCATATCAAAATGTGTGTGATATGGCTAAAACATAAGTTGGGGAAAATTAACAGCACTAATGCCTATAGTAAGAAAGGAAAGAGGTCTCAAACATTAGCTTCCTCCTTAAGAAGCTAGAAAAAGAATAAATTGAACCCAAACTAAGCAGAAGAAAGGAAACAAAAAAGAAAAAAGATTAGACCAAAAATCAGTGAAATAGAAACAAAAACAATGGAAAAAGTCAATAAAAATACATAAAAAAAATAAAATTGGTAAACATCTAGCCAGACTGATCAGTAAAGAGAGAGAAGACAAAAATTTCCATTATTAGCAAGGAAAGCATGACATTAGATTATACAGAATTAAAAGGCTAATAAGAGAGTAATCTAACTATGCTAATAAATTCGAGAACTTAGATTAAAAGGGAAAATTTCTTAAAAGACACAAACTACCAAAGCTCACGCAGAAAGACACAGATGAATCAAACAGCCCTGCATCTACCACAGTAGTTGAATATGTAGTTCAAACCTTTCCACAAAGAAAACCATAGCACAGGCATCTTCACTGATGAATTCTACCAAACATTTAAGAAAAAATAATACCCAGTGTACAAAAACACTTCTATAAAATGTACAAAAATTTAAGAACTTAAGAAAATTTAAGAATGCTTGCTAAGATAATTCTACAAAGCCAGCATACCCTGAGCCCAAAACTAGACAAATACAAGGCCAAGGCTGACCACAAGAGATGCTTTTAAAGACCTGGGTTAACTGATAGAAACTGGGATGACAGACTCCTAAAACAATGAAGGTCAGTAACAACACTTAACTTTAGAAGCTAGGTGGATAGATGTTCTAATGAGGGACAAGGTTGGGGTGGGGCCAGTGGTCTACATCCACGGAGGGCAATGGAGATGGTGAATAGAATATGACATTCCTAAGGACAAAATAGATGCTCAGCCAACAAAGGTACTACTCAATCTGTGCAATCAAAAGACAGCAAGGATTGATGACCAGAAAACGAAGGACAGTTGCCTCAATAAAAATTCACAATTTCTTGCCAGTCTCCAGGCCTTAGTGAGTTTTGGGACCCGAAACGAGGGTTGCCAGATTTAGCGAATAAAAATACTGGGTGTCCTGTATTTTATTGGACAACATGTTGTCTAAAAGAGAGGCTGTGTCCCCAAGAATAGTTGGTAAGGATTCATGCAAATCCTTTCCAAAAGGCCTGCTGGCCATTTACTTGAGTGACAATACCCTGGGGAAGGGGGAATACCAAATCACTGGGACGCTTGGGGGCTTAAGATTTGAGCTGCCATTAACATCTGGAAACAACAAAGCATTGCCTTACCACAGTGGGGACCTGTGGGGGCCGGGTAATAAATGGAATCATGCCCGCGACCAATTCATTAACACATGTTGAAGAATATTTGGGTTGTTTCCATTTTTTAGCTACTATGAAAGCAGTTGCTATAAATAGTCACACACAGTCCGTGTGTGTACAAAGGTTTTTGTTTTCCTTTTGTAATAGCTAAGGATTACACGGGTGGGAGACAAAGTTTTCGTTTAATTTTTACCAACGTTGGTCTAATTTTTTTGTCTACTGTTTAGAAAGGAGTGTGAGAACAAATACCAACTGGTTTAGGATCGGGGCTTTTCCTATTCACAAATCACCCACCCCCTCCACCACCAGGCTGTGAGCTCTTGCACGGAAGAAACCTCATCATCAAGCACAGTCTCTTGATTTTAAAATATTCACTATGACACTTCCACCAGAAGTGAGCAATTAGGCTGAACTGTACAAAATTGTAATAAAGGAGAAGAGAGTCGAAGATGGTGTTCGCGGGCAAATAAAGATGTTAATCCCCTCACGTTGCACATTCTGCGGGTGTATTTTTAAACACTTAGCAACGCTTAGCCAAGTCGGTAAAACGGTTCTATTACTGCCTTCGTTTTGGAGTTGGGGCTTAGGCCCACATGGGTGAAGTCACTCGCTCTAGGTCTCAAGGCTGCCAGGTGGAGGAGGGGGCGCCGGCTTCGGTTCCCTCCACCCCCGGGTACGATGCCTAATCGAACAGTGTGGACGCTGCAGCCCTGAGACAGTGACTAGCCCGGGACCACCCGGCGAGCAAGGAGGCGCTTGGGCCCCGAACCGGATGTGTCTGACGCCAAGCCCTGGACCTTCCACCACCCCCTCTCACGAAGCCCCCGCCTTTCTCGCCCACCGCATTTTATGGACGAGGAACCTGAGCCCCGAGGAGGCAAGGCTGCCCGCCGGGTCGGCGGAGGGGCTGGCCCAGCCGCACCTGAGGAGCGCAGGGTTGGGCCGGGGTGCGCGGGCGGGAAGGGGCGGCGGCGGCCCGGGTCCCCTGGGACGTGGGACGATGCCCGGAAGGGGGACGGTCGAGGGCGGCAGGGAGGAGGGGACGCTTACTCCGGCCCATGGCGCCTCTCGGGTTCACGGGCCCGCGAAGAAGCTCGGACTCTTAGGACTCCGTACACGCTTCTCAGTCACGCCTCCGCGCGTCCACAGCGGGCCTCGGGAGCCATGGCAACGAGGACTCTACGGCGGCCGCACTGGGCCAGGCGCCGCCGCGTTTCCCGAGCTCGCGAGAAGCAGGGGGCAGAGACTCCGCTACGAGCGCTCTCCCCTCCCCGCACCCCGTCCTCTTCCCCGTCCCCACCCCGCCTTCCCCGGACGGGTCCCCTTTCCCCAGATCGTCTGGACTGTCTAAGGAGAACCACGGACGCTCGCTTCCAGGTGGATCCGCCTCCCAGGCGTGCCTCCCAGCCCGCCCTCCACTTTCTCCTCTCTGGGGAGTTAACGCGCTCCGGAGCCAAGGGGGTCAGGATGGCGCCCCCACTGCCCTCGCCGGCGGGGCGGGCTTAAACTTCTCATCTGTAGGATGCGGGATAATAAAAAACTTCAGGAGATCCTGGTGGAGGTTTTTAAAGAGATGATTTGAGTAAAGGAAAGACACGTTTTAAAAACAGCCTCCCTGTAAAGGGTAGTTGTCCTCGTTGGATTTCATCTCCTTAGTCACAGCCCAGCACCGATCTCCTCCTAACAGGTTTTCTAAAAACACCACCCTCAGCAACTTTCCCTACCCACCCACCACTTTGTGGCTGCCAAAAATAGAAAGTGCATCTCCTGGAATTCCCATTACTCCTCTTGCATTTCCCCAGACCCCTCCCCAAAGTGCCCAATTCGCTTTACCCAACTCTGGACTAGGAAGGACATCAGTAATTCATCCTCGGTTAGCTTCATATGTTCATATGTCAGCGCTTTAAGGGATGACAAAGTTGTTTGCTTGTTTATTACCACCTTCACTCATTTTGTACCCCCCCCCCCAGCCTCTGGCAACCAGAACTGATTTATTCTTTGTATCTCTGAGTTCATTTGTTTGTTTTTAGATTCTGCATATAAGTGAGATCCTAGAGTATTTGTCTTTCTCTGCCTGACTTATTTCACTTGATGTAATACCCTCAAGGGTCATCCATGTTGTAACAAATGACAAGATTTCCTTCTTTTAACGACTGAAATATATATATATATATATATATACACTATATATATACTATATATATATATACACTATATATATACACTATATATGTATACACACACATAGAATCTTTTTATGACTGAGAAGTATTTCATATATATGTATAACCACATTTTATTTATCCATTCATTTTTAAAATTTTTTTTTAACATTTATTCATATCTAAAAGAGAGAGCACGAGCAGGGGAGGGGCAGAGAGCGAGGGAGACACAGAATCTGAAGCAGGCTCCAGGCGAGGAGCTGTCAGCACAGAGCCCGACACGGGGCTCAAACTCACAGACTGAGAGATTGAGAGATCGTGACTTGAGCCAAAGTCAGACACTTAACCAACTGAACCACCCAGGCGCCCCTATCCATTCATTTTCTGATGGACGCTTAGGTTGCTTTCACGTCTTGTGTATTATAAATCATCCTTCAAGAACACGGGAGTGCAGGTATCTTTTTGAATTAGTGTTCTCATTTTCGTCAGATAAATACCCAGGAATGGAATTCTGGATCATACGGTAAGTTCTATTTTTAATTTTTTAAGGAACCTCCATAATGTTTTCCACAGTGACCACCCACCGATTTACTTTACCACCAATAGTGCAAGAGAGTTTTTTTCTCCACATCCTCACCAACCCATGTTAATGCTTGTCTTTTCGAGAATGGCCGTTATAACAGGTGTGAAGTAATACCTCATTGTGGTTTTGATTTGCATCTTCCCGATGAGCAACTTGTCATGTGCCTGGTGGCCATGTGTACGCCTTCTTCGAAAAAATATTGATGCAGATGTTCTGTCCATTTTTAAATAAAAAATTGGCTATTGAGTTGCCTGAGTTCTTTACATTTTTGTCTATTAACCTTTTGTCAGATACATAATTTGCAAATATTTTCTCCCATTCCATAGGTTGCCTTTTCATTTTGCTTGATGTAGTCCCACATGTTTATTTCTGTTTTGGTTTCTTTTGCTTTTGTTGTCAGATTCTCCCCCCGCCTAAAAAATCTTCACTATGACTGATGTCAAGGAACTTACTCCGGACATTTTCTTCGAGGAGTTTTATGGTTTTGTTTTGCCTATATTATCATTACAAAGTAATTATTACCCTCTGTCCCTTTGCAAAGAGAGAGAGAGAGAGAAAGTATGTGTAAAATATTGTTTAAAAACTTCTTCCATCCCAATCTTAGTAAATAGTACAGAGTCCGTGGTCTCATCTTGAAATGTATGTGATGTTTACATTATGAAAGAAGATTCATAGAGTAACGTGGAGCGTAAAGAAATGTGTTCTTTCAGCAGGAACCTGTTAAGCATTCACTGTTGCTGAGTATTAGGGTTTGCCAAGTGGCGACAAGAACTTGAAGTGAGGCAGAGAGACAGGAGCCAGGAGGGTGGAGGGCAGGAGGGGCTGGAAAGCCAGTCAGTTTGGCTATGGGCACAATTGCATGGGGTGATCAGATGAGGGGTGATGGAGGCCGTGAATGCCAGCTCAACTAGAACAGAATGGTGGGATCTCAGGCACTATGTCCCCACAGTGGGAGAACCATTTGGAGCTCCAAGGAGACTCCCAAAACACTCCAACTATCAATTTAGGTGACATCCACCGATCCTGCCCAAAAGCCTGGTTCTTGTCGTTTCACTGTGTTTTGGAAGCAACACGTTGCCGGGCGAGGAGCATGAGCTCTGGCCTCGGAGACCCGGTTCAGATCCACAGATCTGCTACCGCGTGGCGTTAGGCAGATGACTCCACGTTCTTGAGCTAATGCTTCCCCCATTTGTGTGTGGAGCTGACCATACAGGCAACGTATGGCTGTGCCACCAAGAGAGGGGTCTGTGAGCTGGCGTCTGGTTGCTCACGGAGGACGTGACATTCCATCAGCCACAGGCGAGGTTAGCAAACGGGCCTATGCCCAAGTGACAGCGAGAGGTTCATCAAGGCTAAAAAAGGGCTATTTCTGGCGGGGAGCTGGTCCTGGGGGATAAACCAGGTAGAAGGGTAGTTTCTGAGATGACAGAGGCATGAAGTCAGGACCAGTAGAAAGGACCTTGGCCTCTGGGTCACAAGAGACAAGAGGGAGATATTCTAGGACTCTAGAAAGTTCTCAAGACCAGTTGCAACCCAGATATCTGATGTGTTGGCTCTGAACTTTCATCCTCACGCTCACACGGACTCACTCTTAAACCCTGTGGGGGTGAAAAGGGCCTGGAAATTTTCCTATGAAACTTAAAGTCTGTTACCTATGAAACTTAATATCTATGGAGCAGGGGTCTTCTATCCATTTAGATGCAAGTAAACGAACAACAGAGCTGTGCTCAACATGGTCCAGTGTTTTGAAAGTGTTAGTTAATTCTTACATTAACCCTTCGAGGTAGAAAGTGTTACCATCTACATATTGTCAATAAGGAAACTGAGGCCCAAGGAGATTATATTACCAGAATTTTATGCCCCAAACTGAATTCTCTCCTGCATCACTTTTGAGGGCAGGAGGGAGTTTATTTTTCATCTCCGAATCCTACCTCTCAGCACAACTCCTGATACTCACTAGGTGCCCAATAAATCTTTGTTGAACGATTTAATGAGCAAGTCAGTGAGCCAGTCTCTTTAAGAGCGTGGCACCCTGGATGCACACATCTCATGACTTAAATAGGATCACCACAGAAGTGTCCATGTTTTAAGAGAATCTATCAGGTTATCCAGGAAGGGTGTCCCATTCTTTGGGTCATTGGACACGTCCTTGGCTTAATACCTTTTCCCCAAAATCTAGGATAGGAGCTCCTTTGGGGAGCAAGGTCTTGACGGATTGTTCTCCACTCTGGTGGAAAGGAGAAGAGCCTCAGATGATAAAGCAGAGAAACAGGAATATCTACTTCATGATTTGTCATGGGCCAGGCCAGGGTGGTTTTGATGTGTCCTCCCTCAGCCCAACATCACAGTCACTCTGTCTCTTAGGAACAAAGGACCCATGGGGCACATAGGACAGGTGTACGATGTGCTGTGATTGTTACAGTCCTTGACAGAAGGGAAATGGGGGAATAAATCACAATGTGACAGCTCCAGGCAAATTGGAGTTTATTTTACTCAAACTGAATGAGATTGTTTAGAGTCACGGTGTGTGTCTATTTATGCAAATAATTATTCAAAACAGACTTGTTTCTTTGGCCCCTGGAAATGTAACTAGATTGAGTGAGGCCTCCTGGGGAAATGACTACAACATTTTTGTGTACATAAGTAGGAGAAGTAAATCTCAGAAAGGGTTTTTTTCTTTTTTAATTTCCAATAACAGCAAAATGATCCTCCTTCTTCTTTTGCGTTGGATAAATTCAAGAGACGACCTAGAAAGCTATTTGGTTCTTATTATTTTCATTATTATATATAATTTAGTATTTTTATGATGTGTCACAAATACTGTGGTTACATTTCAATGGTATTAATATTCCGCCAGAAGAGTTTCCTCATTGCATCTTCATGACAGGTAAATCCCCAAGTTTACCAGCACCTCTATAATATCAATTACTTGCTTGCTTGCCTGCTTGCTTCCTTTCTTCCATCCATCAGCAAATATTTATCAAGTGCCTTCCAGGCACAGTTAGGAGTAATTGAGACAATGTATGTAAAGCTCTTAGAAGGGCACTTGCCATTTAGGAAGCGCTCAGTAAGGATTAACTATTCCTGTGGGTTGGTGGGGAGAATGGGTGATGGGCATTGAGGAGGGCACTTGCTGGGATGAGCATTGGGTGTTGTCTGTAAGTGACGAATCGTGGGAATCTACTCCTGAAGCCAGGACTACACTGCATGTTAGCTAACGTGACAACATATAAAATTAATAAAAGGAAAGGAAAGGAAAGGAAAGGGAAAGGAAAAGAAAAGAGAAGAAAAGAAAAGAAAAGAAAAGAGAGAAAG